TTTATCTCATTTTTTAATGCCAAAATTCGGTACTTAGCCCAAGAGAACAGATATCTTGTCCTTTGCGCGGAAATATTTAACACACAAAAAAGGCTGGGGCCCAACAAAAATTTTTCAGGGGCCCCCAGCAACTCGGGGCCCGGGGCAATTTGCCCCCCCCTCTCTGCGGCCCTGCCTGTTGCTACCACGCAGCAATTTTCTCTCTTTTAGAAATTTCTAGTTTAATACACTGGATGGCTGTATCAGTTCTAAACCATTCTCGCTAAAAGTAAACATCCAGTGACAGCCATCCCGAATTGGCCCAAGTTAAAAAACCCTGTGTGTTCGGAAGAGACAAACTAAGCACTCTTCGCACATGAGAAATTATATTCAGACAATAGATATTGCATGAATGAAAGTTATGAAACATCAGTCTCAGATAAGAACAACTGTATACCAGATCAAAAATCTGTGGCCTTGACTGATTGCCAATGTAAAGTAGATCTTTGAATCCTTTGTTGATAACCAACGCCATTCGCTCTCCTTTTCTTTCTAACAATGCATTTGTTGCCACTGTTGTTCCCATGCGGATCCATTTGATGTAAGATGGATCGATTGGTTCGCTGGCTGGCATGGATATACCTGTTTCCTGGATCAGAGATTTATCAGAAATCCATCAATAGATAATGACAGAAATTTAATTAATGGATGGCAGATCAATAATTGGATAGTGATTATTTAATCAATATATGGTAGCACCTCAATAAATAGATGGTGCATAAATTAAACAGTGTCACAAAATATCATATCCTAATGATGATCATTGATTAATAACTCAATAGTTGAAAGAACAATCAATATTTGATTACAGATCTATTAACATTTAATTACATATAAGTCATGTAATGAGTATACATTAAACCACTTTGACAAACTAATCAATAGATGACAGATTAATCAGTAGATGACACATCAACTATCAATTGATGATAGATCAATCAACAGATAATAATAGATAAGTCAATGATAACAGACAAGTCAATAGATGATAACCAATCAATAGATGATGACATCATGACAGGTTAATCAATACCTAATGAAATATCAATCAATAGATGGCAGATCAATCAATAGATCAATCAATAGTTTACCAACCAATCAATAGATAAACAAATAATAGATGATGATATATCAATCAACAGATGAAAGATCAATCAATAGATAATAAATAGATCACAGATCAATCAATGACAGATCAATCAATATATAATCATAATCACAGACGAGACAGATAATTCGATAGATACCCCATTATAACACAAATCAATCATTAATGAACGTATCACTAACAATATCGTCAATATCATATCAGATGATCAGATTCATCAATAAAGAATTATCAATTGAAATAACAAACCTTTTCTAATATGCGGCGTATTCCCTCGCGGGGTGCGTCGGGGTAGTTTGCTGGATCTTCAGACAGTAATTTCATTACGATAGATTTACCAGTTGGTGTTTTAGCAAACACGTCAGTGAACGTTCCCCCACGATCAATAGCGAACGAAAAACCTTTTAAAAGCTTGCTATCCATAATTTTGCGTAAACCAGCCAGTCTGGAGAACTTTCAATATTTTCGTTCAGTATAGCTTTACTGTAAAAGTTCAATTCTAGCTCAAATATTGGTCATATTCTTTGCGTTTTACAAAGGCAGTTTTGTTCTACCAAATGAAAAAGTAAATATTTCGAAAGACCACGCAAAAAATTCCATTATTTTAATATTTGCCATGTGTTTTGCAAGATTTCTAATTTTGAACTTTGATCTTCAATTTTTCCCAAAATTTTCCCACTTTTCCATTTCAAATTTCTTTCTAAAAAATGCTATTAATTTCTTGTTTTAGTTCTGTTAATGGTTCCAAGTTTATAAATTCGAAAGCAAACTTGAAAATATTTGACTAAAAAGTTTGGTGGGAAGTTTTATTTCATTAAATTCAACATTACATTTACATTCCAAATCAGTGGAAAAAGTGAAATAAAATACAGTATTTTCTGCAAAGAGGAAACATTATTTTGACTACACCGGAAGTAATTTAGGAAAAGTTACCGGAAGTGGATCTTCTTACCGGAAATTATTTTCGGTGCTTTACTGTAACCCAGCCCCAGAAGTAGGCACACGGTCGTAGAAAACACGCTTTATGAAATCGACAAGATGGCTACGAAATAGTAGAAGTTTATGGTCGAAAAAGTAGATGATTTTTAAAGATCGAAGTGAGATAAAGGTTTGTGGGTTTGATACGCATTTTCTTTGAAAGCTATAGAATGTTTTTAGTTGAAGAAATTACTGTAGTGTATGAAATAAAATGATACAAATTGCCTGTTGACGAAGGCAGTTTTGTAAGTGATTTTGCTGTGTTTTGTTTTTCATTTTGTTTTTTTCTTGGATTTAAATTGTGGAATTCTACATGTATTGTAAATGCTAAGAATAAAGCAGAGTATTCCCTTGAGGATACCTTTCTCGATCAAAGACAAAGGCTTCGTGCGAATTTAAATATTAAGTGCACATCAGCTTGCGAAATTGCAGATCGTCGAGATCGACAGCTTGCAAAAATTAGTGCAGTATGTGATACAAATATGCAGCTGAGCAAATCGATGAAAGGATGTGCAACACGCTTCATCAAACAATGACAATTTAGCGCAACGATTTGAGATTATTCCCATGTTAAGCATGTGGAGTGAGTTTTATGAAAGATCTCGCAAAGCAAAGACCTTAGATGTCTATATGGGCTGCTATCACCATTGAGTGAGCATTTTGGCATATCTTAATTATATGTTTTATATTATGCAAGTTGCAAATTCATTCAGTGTTAATTATAAAAATACCACCATATATAGTATTTGCATCAATAGTTTTTATGCAATAGTTCAGACAATCCTTCAAACTAATACTAAACCAATCACTAACGCTGATAACTAACCTGAAACCTCGCCCTAACCCAATGCTAACCCAAATTGGTAAAAACTTGTGAAAACTAGGAAGAAAAAAAAGTGTAAAAAAATTAACAAATAATAGTGCAAGCAGGACTTGATCCAGAAGCTAGAGCATACAACAGGGTTGCTTAAACCACTCAACTACCAAGGACTTGCTCAAAATCCAATGAAATTTTTGTGGTCTCATTTTAACCAGTTTACAGAATGAGGAAATTGTCGTACCTGTATCTAATTCCTGATGTGAGAACATCACAATTTGTAGTAATTGATGGTTGGGGCATCACCATCTCCAAATATAAATTAATTCCCACACCATGCTGCAGTAACAAGCACATGTATACAACATTAAGAATGATAATCCATCCCAACATTTCCAAAAAGAGGGGGCAACCATTATATGGATAATGTTAGAAATGTCCAAAAACTGGGGAATATGCCCCCCCCCCCCAGGATTGATGCCCTTGCACAATAAATATATATGATTGTAAAAAATGAGACATTTGATAAGTGTGATTTCAGTTTGTCTCAAAACTATGGCTGCAGAAGTTATGCAGCCATGAAACAACGCTGCCTCCATAGTATACAAGGCTCTATCCAAATTCAAAACTTTAAAACTTAGTCGAATTAAGGAGTTACAGGCCAACTACAAAAATCCTGTGAAGGCAGTGGAACTCAGGCCTCGAATTTCCCTGAAATCAATCGACGGCAATGACGTTAAAAATTGCCATAGAACGTAACAGCTGTCTATGGCAATTTTGGCAGTTTCCACGACATTTTTTCCAATTACTGTAACAAAAATGTAATTTTATTGTTAATATAGCAATTTAGTGAATACTATTTTACTATACGGCAAAAAATTGCCGTCGTTTCCGCAATGATCCACGGCATTTTGTACTCCCTCTACGGCAATTGCCGCGATAAAATTCGAGCCCTGGTGGAACTACCTTGCTAAACTTACAGTTACTGGCTAACAACTCCAATAATCATTTGGAGCCAGTTATTATATCAAAGCCTGGAGTTAACGGCTACGCTGGTATCAACTAAGTTCCATTCAAAGGTTGGCTCCCTTCACAAAAATAAAATCTACAGGCATGCTGTAAACAAAACAGAAGAACCAAAGTTAAGCTTTTCACGAACAAAAAAATCAATGACTTCAATTTCAGTTCAGTCTGGTTTAATACCTGCATTTCATCACATATAAAAATAAAAAGAGATATGTTTAACACTTGGCACTTGCAGAGGTAATTTTAATTACAAATCATTGTGAATAAAAATTTTTGAGGACTGAAAGAAAACACATGCTGTACCTGTAACCGTTTTTGCTGAATAATATAAGTGGGAATCAAGTAATAAAATGTCCAAAGCGTCTCTTTTTGCCTGCAAAAGCTATTTAGCAATTGCCTGGTTAATCCATTGATTACCAAGAGCTGGATGTAACAGCTAGACTAGAGAGAAAAATTCACCAGGAATGGGAACGTTGCTTACCAAGATAAACATCAAGACAATAAGTAATTATGAAAACAACCTTTGCCAGAAAGTTTGTGCCAGCAAATGTAATGTATTGGACAGTGAAATTTCAATTCAATAAAGAGGAAAGGCCTAATCTACTTTCAAATGAATGAAATGCCAATGATTTGAAGAGAAGATAGATGCCAAACTCCAAAGCAGTTTCATTCAAGGTAAGAATAATTATCACTACTTCAACATGAATTCATTGAGATGCAATTGTTTTTGTGTATATTTTCACATTTCAGACTATTTTTTTGTATTTTTTTTAGGATTCACTTTCTGGCATTAAATACAGATAGTAGACCACTGTTGAAAGAGATGAGCAGTGCTGTTGAATTAGATGACTGGATAATTATGTTCAGCACTATATTCGGGATTTGAAATGGCCTTAAACTCTTTGAAATCCCTTGCACAATTGATGTTTTGACTTTTGTTATAAGGTGGAAAGAATAGTGGGGGGAAACAATAGATACTGAAGTGCCTGGGAGCAGTTTCTATAATAGTAAATCTCATCAATTGAGAACATTAGACAAGTAGTTCTCATCTATTGACAATCAACACAATCTAGTTCATGCACAGTTGACTACAATTTAACTACCAAACATAGTTGAACTGTGCACAGGTTACACAATTACTGACCCCCAATTGCTTATATCATAGTCATGTAATGGCATTTTATGGCCTGCTACAACTAAGCAAACAAAAAAAATAAACATGATTCCAAACCACTTGCATTGATAAAAGCTCAAGGTGTTTTTCACCTTCCTAGTAAATCTTCAAATCGTGTCTAATTTTCAAACATAGCTTTTAACATTACATGTCAACTAAAGTTATTATCTTTGTATTAACAGGAATACAGTATTGTTATTTGAACTGCAAAACACTGACATATAGAAACTACAGTTTTGTGTTGTGCAGATAAAGGAAGTGGAAAACAGGTGAAAAAGTGATTGCCTATTGTGGTTTCTTTTCATGTTTTAACACTAGGTTTATTCTAAAGGTATTATTTTTGTAATTACAGGATAAAAATTCCGTTTGAAGAGTGGCATACTTGCACTGAAGTTTTGTATTGTGCAGATAAAAGACGCAGAAAACAGGTAGCCTGGTAGGTATGAATGATGATTTGCTATATCTATTACAATTTGGCAACTGCTACCACACACATAAAAATGCACACGTTACAGATCTGCAAAAAAAGTTGTTGTCAAGCTGAAATCAGGGAGTGTTCCCACCGCTTGTTCTCCGTTGTTGTGACAAGTCTGGAACAAGTTGTTATCACCTTATTAAAGGTTGTGGACGGTAACAGACTTGCTACAAATTGTTCCAACAGGACCAAAACAGGCTGTTCGTAAGAAATTACTACAAGCTGGTTGTGATCAGATTGTTAAGTCTGTTGGCCTCATCAACCTTGTTACAAGATGATAGCAACTTGTTCCAGACTTGTCATCAGTGTAAACACATCTTTTTGACAAGCTGTGAAACTTTTATGCTTTCCTTCTGTATTAACACTAGCGCCCGTATTCTAAAAGCTCACTCACACTCAATGAGTGCAAGTTCAATCTGAGTTTCTCTTGAGTGTCATTGCTGTTTTTGAATAACTGAAGGGTGAGTAGTCGCATATTAAGGTACGACACTAACCCTCCAGCTATTCAAAAACAGCAATGACACTCGAGAGAAGCTCAGATTGAACTTCCACTCATTGAGTGTGAGTGAGCTTTTAGAATACGGGAGTAAGTCAATAAGGATAGTTCTCATGAGTGAACCTTTTTGGTGTATACAGTAGAACTGATTAAGCTATCCGCTATAAACGGTGGTAGTTAACATACTTTGACGTTTTGTATAGTTGTAAAGCGAGATGAGAAAAAGTCGTATATCGTTCAATATCAGCAAGAAACGGGGCAAAAATGAAGGGGGTGAATCAAATATGGCGGACCCTTCGCCAACTGGAAGTCAGCAGTCAACTTTGAAATTGTCATCCTATTATGCATGCCGTTTCTGCTGCAAGCGTTTTAAATCAGAACTAAGTTATGAGACGCATAGCAAGACAAAGAAACATGGCAAGGCCGTCAAAGCTGGTACGGAATTTGAATTGAAAAAAAGTCGCACTTGTGCTGGATGCAAGCAGGATTTTGAAACAAGGCTGCAGTTGACGCAACATTGTAAGAAGAACAGTCATATGCCATTGGTGCAGAAAACTAGCCTGAAGAATCCAGTTTACGGGAAACCGTACACCGAAGCGGAACAGGAAGATCCGTTTGTGAGCATCAAGTATTATTCTCCCTACTATTGCGAGCTCTGTGATTTGGATTGCGTCAATGTTCAACATTACGAAGATCACACGAAAGGCGAGCGTCACGAGAAAGCGGTTGAGAAGCGAGCCGAACAAGGAAAAGGCGTGTTGGTCGACTTGGATACGAACGAGGTGGATACTAGTAATGACTATCTGGTGATTATGAATAAAGTGGAGCCGGTGACCGAGAGGGTGTCTGCATACTACTGTGGGATTTGTGATATGGACTGCCGCTCAGAGGTAATAATAACACTTGTAATAATGCCTTAATTGTCATCATTTGCAACTACACTTGCCCCATGACGATGTCCTTGGCCTAAAAAGATCTATAGCAGTCCTTCTCTATTAGCCTGTGGACTGCTATAGCTATTTTTCTGACTGTCTTGATGTCCTTACCTTGTGTGGTTGTATGGCCCCAGGACACCGTCGTGTCTGAAATGGATAATGAGAGGTTGACATTTGACTACACTACCGCAACCGTTAAGGGACCATTAACCAATCAGATGTGTTTCATATATCCAATGACCAAACAGATGCGGACTAAACCAGTGAGAGGTAGTAACATAGTTAGAGAGTAAAATAATGCCTGTCGTTATCAACCCGCACAATTAAGGTGACCTTCGAGTAGTTGGGATTGCTCAATAATGTTGCGATTTATAATGGGTGAATAAATTCTTCATCTCATCCTACTCATTCTATTCTAGATTGCCTATACAGAACATGTGACCAGTAAAGACCATCAAGTCCGTATGGAAGGCCATGGTCAACTTAAGATATCTTGTGACCTGTGCTGTATGACTTTTAACAGCGAGAACAACCACAAGATGCATTTGAAGAGCAAGAAGCATGCTAATAACCTAGCTGCACGGCAAAGGCTTTTACCCCTTGAGACAGATCCGGAAAAAGAGAGTGTCCAAGATCTGCGAGATAAGATTAAGAGGACCATCTCTCCTCCACTTGAAAATTTTGATAAAATTAAAGTGAACATCGCTGGCGACTCGGCTGATGATGCCAATACTCGTTCTGTGGTGGTGGATATTCAAGCAGATGAGGAGGACGCCATGGAAATGGGCATGCCAAGGGTAAGCATGGATAACCACCACTGAGATAAGCCTACTACTGAAGGTTGAGGGTAGATTCTGTTACTTATTGGCTCTGACTTGATGGGTTTGAAAACTCACGTAAGTTACGGTTGGTTCCTGTCCTTCGAGGATTTTTCTTTGAGTACTCTTGTTTTCTTCTTTACTCATAAAAACTAACCCTTCCACCTTAACCTCCAACGTCCAACTCGTAACGTTTGAACCGCGGCGTTCATAATTTAGCTCTCAAGGGAAGATTATTAATCCCCCTAATAAAATTTATTCGTTGTAAAAAAAACTGTAGCAGACTTAGTTGCCGCAATGCTCAACAACTTTAGGACAGTAGTAATACCCTGCCAGTTGTCTCTATACATTATCTGTGTCATATTTCCTAGTAGTTTTGTGAATATCTACGCTGGCAAAGCAAATAAATAAACTCGTAATCAAGACGCGTTTACAATACTTGCTCCCAGCTTGTTGGAGCAGACATCTAGCAATTTCGAGGTATATAGTATGTTCCCAACAAGTTGTGATAACTTTGCATGCAACAACAACCTTCTTAACTTAACACCTTATCGAAAGGACGTGTGATTTTTACACGTGTTCCTTTATCTTTTAGGTCACATTGGATAAGAAAGAGAAGAAAGAACTTGAGAGAAAACTCAAAGAAGATGAAGAAGAACGTGGAAAATGGGCGAAACGACGGGAGGAAGAATATGGCAAGAAAAGAGCGGAGATTTTGAAAGTTTCAAAATGGGATCCCAAGGTTTCTCCTACTGAAACGAAAGGTCGCGGGCGAGGGCAACCAACTGATACTCGTGGGCGAGGGAGAGGAAAAGGCCAGGTTGCTTTCAATGATAAGTATAAGTGGGTAGCACCTGGTTTGAAGAATCAAGGTGAGAAATCTGATAGCATCACCCCCCGAGAGAGGTACTCTAAGGATGATAAAGATAGGTATTCTAAAGATGAATCAGGGGGGAGATATTCAAAAGAGGGGCCAAAGGAAAGATACTCGAAGGAATGGTCCAAAGATCATGGCTCGCGGGAGCGGTACCCAAGAGATGACTCGAAGAGCGATAAACGAGACAAGAGGGATGGCAAGTCCGACCGTCGCCGGAAAACGTACGACGACGATAAATACACCAGTGATTCCGACAACGAGCGAGTTATTTTGAAGAAAGGTGAACTGAAAACAATGGATGATGATAATGATGACCTGAGGAAAGTTATTAACAAACAGCGAGGAATTGTCGAGAAAGACGATGGAAAATCTCTTGTTTTTGACTATGGTCATCAGAGTGTAGAGAATGCAAGTGACGAGAGAGCAAAGTTGAAGGGCTTCTTCGGTGGAGCGTTTGCTCATCTTCGAGAGGATGGTGGTCCAAGTGAAGATGCGAAGGAGGTTGATAATTATAGCGGTAGCAAGATGGAGGAAATCAAAGAACCAGAGAAGGATGCTGGTAAAGACATGGAGCGGACACTCCTGCTTGAGTTATTGAAACGTCAGTTTCCTGATATTCGGTATCTTACTGAGAGACAAGGTGGCTTGGAATTGATGCAGAAGATCTTTGGTGCACAGGGTATGAGTGGTTTGGCAGGCCTTGATCTTGAGGGAACAGGTTCCGTAGCCAGTGCTAGGAGTATTGCTAGTGATGAGGGTAGTGTGAAGAGCCAGCCGTTTAAGCAGGAGGGAAATTTGGTGACGCTGGTTTCTGAGGAAGTAGCACCGGCTGAAGAAAAGAAAGTGGAAGCAAAGTCTGCATCGCCAGAGAAGCGCGAGTCCAGAAGAGATCGAAGAAGTCGAAGTAAAAGTCGAGAGAGGTATACTTCTATATTTTTATAGTAATGCATCTTTGTTCTGGCATTTACTATGTGAACAGCTTATTCTATGTTAGGCTCTTTCTGACTTTTTGATTTATTCAACTTCTAAATTTACATTGCGACAAAGTACTCGTTAATACAATAAATAATGACTGGAGTGATGTAAATTTAACTATTTAAGGTCAGTTTTTGAACTGTCGAGGTATTGGTGAGTCGAGGTATTGGTGATGTATTCATATGTTAAACTTAACTGAACTTCTAAACCTGCTTTATTTATACTGAATAGTTTATCAGTTCTAAACTGGTCTTCGTTATAAGGAAAATTGGTCCAGTGTGACAACAAAAGGAATCGGAGTATTCAGTTAAAAAATCACTTGGTGTTTGCAGCACCCTACGGTGCGTACTTTTTACATGTGAAGGAGATAAAAAATAATCAGACAACTGCATGTTACGGGAATCGTACACGGTTACTGAGGTGAGACTCCGTGAAAGGCATATATGCACTAACTGCTATTCTAAGAGGAGATGGCATTTATATATTCGTATATCTCAGGATTAATATTTGAATATGATCAAATTTATTTCCATAGGCGAAGAAGAAGCCGAAGTCGGAGTGATAGCAGAAGTCGGAGTGGCAGAAAGAAGAGCAGATACAGTTCCAGGAAACGATCAAGAAGTTCATCCCAGGACAGATATAGCAAGAGATCTAGGCGTACACCAAGTCCAGATAAGCGCAAAAAGGATGAAAGGGTTGACAAAAGTTCAGATGAGAAAGATAAGAGCAAAACTAGCGAGAAAGATAAAAAAGAAAGCTTGGTTTCACAAGCTAAGGCCAAGAGTAAAGACGCGAAAGACAAGGCATTGGCTAAGTGGACGGTCTCGAATTGGTCTGGAGGCAACGAGGAAGGCGGCAAGGACAGTGGCGAGAGAGGCGAACGAAAGAAAGCGAGTGAGAAAGAGTCTAAAAGGAGTGATAGAAAAGATGATAAAAGGCACAAGGAGAAGGAAGGAGCGAAAGCTGGAACAAAGGAAGATGATTCACGGAAGGCAAAACGTAAAGAAGAACCAAAGACTGATCGGGAAGAGGACAAGAAACGACAAAGAACAAACAGCGAAGGAGATAAAATATTTGAAGATGCAAGTGACTATGAAGACATAGATCTTGAGACGAATGTTGATCTTGAGACGAAAGTTGATCTTAAGGAACAATTTGAAAATGATTACGAAAATGGAGGAGAACAGCGCCGTTCCGAAGCAGAAGATAAACGTCGTCCTGATGGGGAAGAAAAGCGTCGGTCAGATTCCAGTAGTCGTAAAGCAAGAGGAGGACAGGGAAATTCAAAGTCGACAGAAGAATCGGAGGGCAGAACAGATCAGAAAAGAAGGGAAACGGAAGGTAGAGGTGATGAGAAGAGAAGAGATTCGGAAGGTAGAGATGAGAAACGGAGAAAGAAGTCGTATGATCGTTATAATTACGACGACAGATTCAACAATGACAGCGAAGATGAAATGGATGAATTGCAGAAAGATCTTCTTGCTAATCTGGCCAGAGTTGAAAACTTGGGTCGTGTTCTTCCACCAGTTGGGCCACCATTCCCTATGGGAGGTGGGCCATTCATGCCTCCGTTGTCTGGCCCCCCACTATCCGGTCCTCCGATATCTGTCCCTCCACCACCACTTGGGTTACTCCCCCCAGTAGGTGGGCCGTATCCACCACAACCAGGTTTAGGACCAGTTATGCTTCCTGCCCCTCCTGATCTTGGAGACCCCACGATACCCGTGAACCCAAATTCAGCCTTGACGTACATCCAGCCAACTGAAGAACACAACCCTGTCCCCTGGGGATCTTCGTCAACTGATCGGGCATTGAAATCCTTACTAAGCCAAGTCAGTGCTCTTGGAGCTGGGGGGAAAACAATATCAACCTCATCCGTTCTAAGACCAATAATTTCGACGAGATCTGAAAGTCCAAAATCTTCTTCAGAGCTTCATAGACTTGGGGAAGTGTACAGCGACGATTTCGAAGCTTCAGACGATGGAGATGACTCCGGTTCGAAGCCGCTGAAGTCTATCCTAAAGAAGAAATCTAAATTTTCGGTCGGACAAGGTAGCGAACAAGCGTCGAGCGGACTACCAAAGAATGCAGTCGGAGCAGAGTATGTTGTGAGTACAGGCGAACAAGCGAAATATTTTTGTCAACTTTGTGATGTGCAGTTCGCCACGTTGTCTGCGAAGAACCTACATCTCCGTGGACCAAAGCATTTGGCAATGTTTATGAAACATAAATCTCCTTTGATTGATGAGATGATAAAACAAGCGATGGGCGTAGTGGTTGGAAATAGAGAGGAAAAGAATGAAGCACAGGAGGACAGCGATGAGGAAAAAGAAGTTAAATCTGAGATGGCGAAGAATACAAAAGAACCGAGGGAGTCGAGCCATAGTCCGCTACCGAAGCGTAGTCCATCTCCTGAGCCGATGAAAGAAAGTTTAGAAAAGGAAAGAAGCATCTCGCCTTATGACAGTCGCGAACCGCGATTGTTTGTTGACGAAAGAACGGGCAGAATTGTCCAAGCTGGTGGATATTACAGCGAGGGAAAAGCCGGAAGAAGTGAGAGTAGTAGGGTATCCAGAGAAGATCCACAGGCATCTAGAGAGGATACTCAAGTACCTAGAGAGGATCAATCTACATCAAGTAAAAGTTCGGAAAGTGGTCCATCCGGAAAGTTAGAGTTGGGTGCAGTTCCAACACCAGATGAGTACGACCGACTCTCTCAAAGGGCAAAAGATGTTTTGTCACGAGAAGAGTACGCTCAGCTTCCACCCAGCACAAGGAAGTTGTTGTTACTGGAAACTAGTGATCAATCTGCAGCAAAGGAACAAAGGCAAACTGGTAGAGCAAAAGAAAGTGATGGGATTGGTGGTAGCATACCAAGAGACCAACCTTTGACTACAAGGGAGTATCAGAAGCTTGATGATGTTAGGTCAACTGAGCAAGCACCACCTGCAAGTACAATCAAGGACTATGAAGATCTTTCGGTAAGAGCAAGATCGCTGTTGACTCGAGAAGAGTACGAGAGACTACCAACGCGAGACAAAGAATATCTTTCAAGGGAAGAATATCTTACTAGGGAGGATTACGATAAACAAACTGCAAGAGAAGCGGCACCGTTGTCCAGAGATGAGTACGAGGTGAGAACGATTTAACGTAAATCTCTATTTAACCCTCCCCACACACACACACACACCTTCAGATAAGTCTTCCTCTCTAATACATCCAGTCATGATTTAGGGCAGACAATAGAGAGTGAGGTTTAAATGACAAGAAAGCACAATAAAATACAAAATGATAGAATTGAATAGAATACAAAAGTGTTCAATAGTAATTCCCTTAAATTGCGATTCGTGCCAACTTATGATCCATGCATTATTACCGTGTGATGAATGCCAACTTATGATCCATGCATCATTACCGTGTGATGAATGCCAACTTATGATCCATGCATTATTACCGTGTGATGAATGCGACATTGAGGAAGTGTTTACCAGTTTAGCAATCTCGTTCCCAGATGAATGCGACATTGAGGAAGTGTTTACCAGTTTAGCAATCTCGTTCCCAGAGCATGCCCGTTCGCAGGTTATGCCCAAACCTGCGAACGGGCATGCTATGGGAACGAGATTGTCAGTTTAGCTGTTCTCTAGTCTCAACATTATAACCTTGTTTTGTAGGCGGTCGCACGCGAGAGAGAACGGTTGACTGCAAGGGATATGGTGTCAAGGGAATCCTATGAACGGTTGGATCGGGAGAGACTCGCAGATCTGGATAGACTTGTTGACCGGGACAGATTGCCTCTAGCAGACCGTGACAGATTGGCACTGACAGAACGCGAGAGACTTGCACTAGCGGACCGAGACAGACTGGTGGGCCTAGCTGACCGAGATAGGCTTGGACTTGCAGACCGGGATAGATTGTCACTCGCGGAACGTGATAGGTTGGCTCTCGCTGATCGTGACAGACTAGCAGCACTGGCTGATCGCGACAGACTGATAGAACGTGATAGACTTACACAACGAGATTATTATGACAGATATCCACCAAGAGATGAGCTGCCATGTAAGTACGATGTAATTCTAGATATGTAAAGCATAGTTGCTTGTATTTGATGCAACACCATAGATTTCACTTGTTCCACCATTCATTTTGCATGTTCACCGGTGCAGAAATTTTCTTGCAGGGAATAGTTGTCATCTTAATTTATATATTGTTTACAAAAAGCATTTTGCAAGTCGAGACTGTCTTCTGCCGAGATTGAACTTTATCACACTGTGTGGCATCATACGTTCTCTGAAATCTATCCATGCATGAGGAAGTTTTGTATTTGACTTACGCTGGAAATTGCTGTCAGGAAGAGAAATATATTTTCTAGGACTCCATGTTGACTTAATCACATACTGCCATTATATTACCCTGGGTGCCGGCGCCGCCTGTGACAGAAGTGAGGACACGACGAGACTCTGGTCACACGAGTATATTGAACTCACCAAAGTGAGACTGGATGCTCGTGTGACCAGAGCCTCCTCGTCGTGTCCTCACTTCTGTTACAGGAGGCTCTGGCACCCAGGGTACCATTATATCGGCATTGAATACAACACAATTTTCTCGATATTTCTTGCTATGCTCAAAGTTCCAATGGCAATAGCCGTATTTCTGTATTTTGTACTGGATCTTTAGCCATGTTGATGTTGGAAATACAATCAAATTTAATTTCCACTTGATAGTACCATCTGCTCTGTCTGAAATTATAACCCAATAACCGTATATCACAGGTATGAATATTGGTAGCAGACATGTAAGGCAACATCTCTTAGTTGTGTGTTCTCCCAAAAATTAGCAGAGATTGCGAGGATAAGTGGGTTTTATTCCCGGGTTAAGCTTGTAGACAATCTGTAAATTGGACAACGTTTGACTTCATGATTTTACCTGAAATTATGCGAGCTTTTCAATTTGTTATTACTTGTCTCTGACTATTTTTCGACGTTATATATAACATAAAGATGTCAGAAGATTTTGAGGCTAACTATGGCTTTTATACATGTGTTATTCCTAGATCGACCTGGAGCAGATGATTATGCACGAGAACGAGGTAGACCAATGGTGCGGGAAGAGTATAGCAAATACATTGGACCCTTGGATGACGACTTAGCCCAACGTAGGGACGACTATGCCAGGCAGCGCATGCGTGAAGAGGACGACCGTCCATTACCCAGAGAAGGATACAGAGAACCAGATTACCGAAGAGATCCGAGAGACGTACCCCCCGGGAGAGATCCAAGGGATGAGAGACCTCCCCCCGGAAGAGACTACAGAGATTTGGAAAGGTCACGTGAGACGTATGGCGATCCACGATCACGTGATATACGCGTGGTCTCTGACAGAGGTGGCCCAAGTGGTTATGATGAAAGAAGAATGAGCCCTCCAAGGGACTGGCCCCGTGGAGCGGAGAGTAAGGGGCCAGACCCCAGGGAGGCACCCATAAGCGGTGGGGAGACACGTGCCCCTGAAGGAGATAGAAGACCTGATGAGACGGCACAGAAAGGAGTGGAAAATGCTGGAAGGTAAAACAGAATTTTTTTAATTTTCATGTTTGATAAACTATAACCAAGTTCCCAACACCCTTACGTTGCCAACATTAATTGATATCGTTCAAGAAGTTCTACGTGACGTAAGATAAAGTACTCGCCGTAAATCTATGATAAGCAAAATATTATACATTTTGCATTTATACAAATGACCATTCTGTTTGTTAGTAGCTTGTGCGAAATAGTTGACGGCAATATGTGCCGGAAAGGTACATTGGAATTTGTAAGACGAAGAAGGATAATAAAGAACTGTATTCCGCTTGTTCTCCAAGGGAAGTGAAAGAGGCGCTCAGCTGCAAGATAGCTTCTATTCACTATTGTATTTACGGAGTAGAAAGGGTCGCCACCAACCTATGTTGAACGGGATTTGTGATTGGTTGTTCATAACAATAAAAGACATTGAACTATAGAAATTATCTTTCTGAAGAACGATTTTATGTTGTTATTTACTCAGTAGAAAGGTCAGTAATTGCCACTAATACAATTTTAAAATTTCTAGACTTGGCACATACGAAGCTCGACCAGCCGCAGATCGTCGCGAGGTAACAGACACTCATACTTACCGTGATGACGAAAGCGATCAAAGGTATCACGGGCGCGAAACAGGCCCGGATCAATACGATGCCCATGGTTATGATTCAGCCCGACGTGGCGGTCCTGGTGGATCCCGAGGACACAGGGGACGCGGTGGTGGTAATCGTGGTGGCCAGAGGGGACATCCTAGGAATGCTGGGTACAATAGAGGACAGCCCAGGCGCGGTGGTCAAGGACGTTACTAACAGGTTAGGATTGAAAGTTTTTTTAAGGCGCCGTTCTTGACGGGCTAAAAATGCCCTCAAATTTGCCTGTGTCGTTCACATTGGTACGAATTCCCGTGATGATCTCTCAAAAAGATGATCTCTCAAACATGGGGTCTAGTGTAGGTAGTACTCTACACTATACAGTAACATGGTTTGAGTCTGAACTACCCGAGGGCCCAAGGCCGCTTGAAACAGTCGAAGTATTCCTAATCCTTTTCAGGTAGTTCACACACAAACCACGGTTAGTTTTAAAGCCTATTATGCTATAAGAAGCAACTACTATATACTAGGAGATATGCACTGTGACAATAGTCTTTTGTTTATTTTGTAGGTGGCAAGTGATGTGCCTTGGTTTTAATGTTTTTGTCCAGATATATATATATATATGAACTTTATGAAGACTAAAACCCCAAAGGAACATTTTGGGAACTTTACTATCTTATAACTAGTATTTGAATAACGTTTAGTTTTCGTTTTGCAACAGTATATACCAGGCCGAATAGTTGCACTATAGCTTTGGTCGATTTTTTCGCGATTTGAAGAAAATTATTTCAATGTTTTACTGAATGCCACCTTGCAAATTGTGAGCTAACCAAGGGGTTGTTCCTGCCTTTTGTGTGTAGAAATAAGAAATTTTATATTGAAATTTATACTGCATTTGGCTTTGGATTCATTTTTGTGAAATAAACATCTTGCTAAGAGCTCAAAATCTTTTGGACCAAGGGGAGCGGTTAGCAGTTGACAATTGCAACTATACTATTACTGGTATATACAGTATAGAGTTTTATGTTTGTTATAGTTGATTTTCGAGTTTTTAGTGAACTCGACTTTTTAGCTTACAAGTTATACCTACATCTAGAACCAATGATAGGTTGAGCTATGAAGGTGATAGTGTTAGGGTGGCGTGTTTGTCCTTTATGTGTACTTGTATAACTATACGTAATTTGTAGAGCAGTTATGGTAGAGTGTACACAATTGTACATTACAGTTGGAAGTAAACTTTTATTCCAAAAATATTGTCGCGTTTTGTTTTTCCTGGGGGAGGGTTCCAGGACTGGAAAAAATAGCGAACCGTGGCTCCCTGAAAATTTGTTGAGCAGAAAGAAAATAAAAATATCAACGTAAAAATGAAATCAAAAGAAATAAAACTACAGTGAGCAGATGCAGATTAACTATATATCCTCAGTCTCTTAATCAGCTAGCTCAACAGCGAACTCGTTGAACCACCAAAGTTAATAAAATATTAACTCCATTCCAACTGCAGTGCACCAACCATACACTAGAATGCATGCTAATCTTACACAGTAAACATAAACGCAATTTCAGCAGTAAATTGTTGCTATGATCCACCCGAATATTCCATTATTTGTCACAGTAATACAGTTATATAAGAGCCGTTAAAACAGAAAAACTTTCATGTTCCCCAACATGCGGTCCCAGAAAATAAAAAATTCTTTCCACCCTTTTGAGGCTTTGGTACTGAGGGTTGAGGATTTGGTACTTCAGCTTTGCGCAACAAAAGATAACATAGTCTTTGGTGGCGCATGTTGTTGAGAGCTGTTGCCAAATTGTTTTTATTCGTTGCAGCCACATTCGTAGTGAATGAATATGCAAAAAGAGGTTGAATTGGCTTTTCTTCTTCATAATGCACCTGCAGAATTAAACAAGTGGCGAGTGATGTAACGAAAAGTCTTCGTAATACGAGGAAAAAACTTCAAAAGTGGTTTCATGATCAAACAGTTGCAACTAACTCTCACTACTGGTTCCTTGTGATACTTCACTTGCAAAAATATATTTTTTATTGGTAGTAGCCAAGTTTGTTTTCAAATGACCATCGGTATTGCGTTTCCATTTCATAGCAACGGAATTCCAATGTATCATCAGAAAAGACGATTTCGTAGGACGATACTTGATCCAGGATGATGCTTGTTAAGTCTCTCATTGTTTTTGGATTAGGCTTGCATTACTGGACCAAACAAGGCAGAGCAAATAGTGGTGATATCTGGTGCAAAAATGTTGTAATAACCATGGTGGACAATTAATTAGTCGTATTTATAATCCATGCAATCAACCAATGTCGGTTATACTTCATAGTATGCGAAAGGTGATTTCCTTCGGTTCATCTCTGGATGGGAAAACGGCGAAAACCATTTTATTGAAAAGTGTCCTCCAAAAACGTCTCGGAGGTTTTCATACCTAAAACATTTCAAAATAGAAAGATTGATGCTGCACTGTGGCTCTGAAGATTGATTATTTATGTGATAATAATATTTATTTATACTTACAAAGATTTATCCTCCTCTTCTTTATCTACTTTCTCTTTTTTCAAATTCTCAATGCCCTAAATAAATAAAATGGTCAGATTAACCAAAGAATTAATTTGTATAATCTGATTATAATGGACAAACTATAGCCACAATTCACATTTGAAATTTCTTGATAGTAGTCTGTCTAAATTGTGCCATATAGCCCATATATATTATTTATGCTACAAGTCTTATTTACCGTTTCATCTTTGCAGATTGAGCATACTTGAGTACAGAACATGGCAAGCGTGAACAAACCAAATAAAATTCCTTCAAAGATTAAGAATATTATGCAGACCATGGCAGCTGGAACCTTGAGATACATACAATCTACAGAGATGATAGAAAATCAAGAATGTCCATAAATCCATAAGACCAAACCAACAGCATGTCAGCCACAATGACCATAGGAGGACCACCCAAGACACCTCCCCATATAGCTACTTTTAGGGAGCTTTATAGACTGGGAATATGACCACAAGATTCATTATTTGCATATCAGCCATATTTTTATGTCACCGTGGTGACTACAAATAAATCATCTATTAAAGTCATAAATGATAAGCAAAATGATAAATCTCGTATTTATAGTCAAATCTTCAGCTACTTGACAGTGAACTCACTGAAACATTGGTATGTAATCATAATTCCTTAAAAATACTGATGTGTGCAGGCAGAAATGAAGTTAAATATTGTACACCCCTACTCTGTCTAATGCCAGATGGTTTTACTCATCAAGGGGAGAGCACTGGCATGCAACATGTACGATAACAGGTAACATTATCCCATACCGGGGATGGATTTACTGGGGGAGGTGCACGCACCCCCTAGCCCTGGCAAGAGGGAGGGGAGGGGTACTATTTAGGGGTACTTTTTAGGTGCAGGGAGGGGTACTATTTTTTGATAAAGCAAAAAAAGTATTAGAGACAAAATGAGATACTGTACAGTAATTTGAGTACCGGTAATAACACGATGATAAGCAAGCTGTGAACAACAATTATATAATAACTACAGTGAAACACACAATTTGATTGGTCAATAGTCGTGCAGGATCAGGCTATCCTGCACGAGGAATTAGAATGCCTTCGCAGGATTCTCAAAATGTCATTGTTTCACTGTATTTATTTTATAAAACAATTACCAAATGGTTTTCCAATTGCTGTTTTTACGCTTTCCAAAAGTCTCGCGACATCCCTCATGCATGGATCACACAATCCTGCACGGAAAACCATTCGGTATTCCTTTATTACAATTCAAATACAGTAGTTGGTGGGTGGGCAGTGCACATAACCGACACAACTTGGCACCAGAGCTAGCTAAGCACCCCCCACCTCCACCAGATCATGCTGGATCCATCCCTGTCCCATACTATCCTTACTGACTTGCATACCTTCCCAGTCACTTCTTTGACACATAAAAAACTGTCTTACAGCAAGGTATAATGCATAGATTGATATAACCATGATGTAAAACTAGAAATTTTGAAATATTATATAAATTTACCAGATACTAGTAATACTTTAAAGTTTCCAGCTGTTCAAGTTCAATTCATCTTACCGTAAATAAAACAAAAAATTTCTGATTACTTTCTCCAACACAATTGTTAATCCTGTTTCAAATAAAGAAGAGTACAAGGCTAAGCTTCTGACTATTGTTATTTTCTTTAAAAATATATATTAAAAATATTTTCTTTGTTTCATAAAGACAAGTATTAATTTAACTAATTAACTCCATTCCATTCAATATTCATTCCTTACCATGGACAGTGATGGTCCATTTTCCTAAAGAAATGAAAATTAATTGAGTAAACACTGCTATTTGAATGCTAAATAGCATTCAAAAAGTGAGAATTTTACTGTGGAATACAAAGTGTCATGAAGTATGAGTACTGTAGCAAGATTAGTGTGAATTTAAAGCATACCTTATGCATCTCTTGCAAGTGCTGTGAAAAGATAAATATTGAATATTATATTCTCAAGAAAATACAGTAACTTTTACTTCCTATATATAAAATCAACTCTACAGAGTACAGATCAAAAAGTGGGTTCACTATAATTGCCTAGACATTGACAAACTAAAGCCTGGTTCACATATATGCCTGCGATGTGCCTGCGACGTACCGGGGTAGAGGCATAATGATACAGTTGCAGGCATGCCGCAGGCATATGTGAACCAGGCTTAAGGATGAGCCCATATCATTCTCATATAATTTATGATAACATTGAGAAATCTATCTATTGAGAAATCTATATCTCGATTCTGTGGTTAGTGATTGGGTTAAGATTACGACCAGTGTTCAATAGGTTAATTTAAAGGTTAAAATTGACATTGGGGTACAGAGTTAGTCTTGCTTAGGGAGGTTCAGATTTCACTTCCACTACTGCTACTACTATCTCTTACTGGCTTAGCATGCATTTAATTGGTTAATCGGATCACACATATCTGATTGGTTAATAGTCCATTAATGGTAGCGGAAGTCAAATCTGAACCTCGTTAATAAGTTTCTATAACCCTAAACAGAAAGATATGGGGCTCATTCTCGATCATTGCTCAAGTAAAGCTATGACAAAATTGTGACGCACCTGCAGTGATGTGCTCTATCAGTCTTTATACATTCACATCTTGTACACCTGAATACGACTTCCCCCTCTTTCATATCTAACTTTTTTATGTTCTCCTTTGTACAATTGCCTAATGGAATACTGCCCTGGAAAAATCATGTTGGGTTACAAGACAGTGTTAATAAATAATGATAAAATTATGTGATACTTATACTTCTCATACTTGTCAAATGCGAAATATCTGTGTTAAAGTTTTGAATGTTGGCTTCCAGAGGTGCAAATGATGCCAAGTTGACAACGTGTGTCAATATACTCATGTTAAATTTTTAATAAGCAATAACTTACTCCGTTACAATTATTTTTTTCATGCTATTGACAGCCCTAGGAAGCTTCTCAAATGTCTCGTTAAAATCAGCTGTTATTCTTTAAATTGCATCTAATTAGAAAAGTTCAGGGTATTCTAAGTATTCTAATTAGGATTCTCAATGAATGTGAAAGTACGAGTATTATTAATATTTGTTACATCGAAGTGGTATGAGCCTTTCAACAATTATGTGAAGTAATATGCCACAGCTACTATAAAGTATAAAATAAAATCTTTAAATCTTACCGGATCAGTAATCATGGCTCTCATGTGGGCTACAACGGCCAAAATCGCAAGTATAGTGAACAAAATTGAATGAAATAGACCCCAGGCAGTTGTCGAAAGTTCAGGGAGTAGCATAACGCCAACTACAACGAATTCGGCATAGCCGATTAAAAAGTAAGTAAACATAGCACAAGTTATTCCGAGTCCATCCCACACAAACCATCGCTTTGAAGACTTCATATTTTCATGTAACAATTCAAGTTATCTTCTTTTCATAATTTCTAGCTCTTAAATCAACGATTTACTAAGATTTAAACCGTTTATCGTTGTAAAATCTGTGCGATAAACATAATTTCGCGACAGGAACTCTTCGAATTATACTGTAATTTCTTTCTTTCATTGAAAATATTATTTATTTCATTGAAAAATGAAAATTGCGGTAGTGTGCTTCCACAATCTGAAACCCTTTTTCTTTCGTCAAATTTTCTCTGACTTTTTCCTCGATGTGCAGAAAACTATTTTTGCATGAATTTTCGTTGTTTTAGTGTACATGCGAAATATAATACCGGTATGGTATTGTTCCATGCTTCTTGTTTTGTTTCATATTCTAGAATTATATTAAAGTTGGCTTATTGGATTAGCAGGATTAAGGTGACTCTGCAGTGTTTCATCATGAGATTTTTGATTGGTTGTTTTATGAAACTGTCGCCATCACGAACGTGATTGGTTGCGTTACCGTCATGGAAACGGATGCAGTTGAACAATGGCCGCAACAAAAACAAAAATTTCTATAATTTTGTAGCGAAAATGCCTCAATTTTTAGGCGATTCTGTTGCAGATTCTCACGGTACTGGCGATGAACAAGACGAGGTGGGAGATGCACAGTCAACTGAGGAACAGAATGATGCCATACAAGAGCCAGAAGCGCCTGCAGTCCCAGTTCAAAACGCGCCCTACGATGCGATGCGAAGTGAGCCTCTTTTGACAAATGTTCTTGTTGAACTATATGACGGGGAGACGGACGAGCAAGGATTCTTACATGGCTACGGCACAGCGTATTTTCAAGGCGGGAACATTTACAAGGGACATTTTGAGCGAGGTTTGATGCATGGAAAAGGCAAATATGTTTGGCAGGATAGGACTATATATGAAGGTGATTTTATGCACAATCAGTTATCTGGTCATGGTTTGTATGTCTGGCCAGATGACAGTGGCTACGAAGGAGAGGTTAAGAATGGTCTACGACATGGTCAGGGAACTTTCAGGTGTGCTTCGACCCCATGTGTTTACTCTGGTATGTGGTGTGATGGTAAACGACATGGTCACGGCACCTTAAAGTATGACAAGATCTGTATCCTACTATGAGGGAGAGTGGTATGAGAATCAGCGTCAAGGTTATGGTACACGTAGGTATGCCAGTGGTAATGTTTACGAAGGGAACTGGAAGAATAACATACGTCATGGTCAGGGTACAATGAACTGGTATACAAGCAACGAAAAATACACTGGTGAGTGGTTTAATGGGGTACAACAAGGATATGGGGAGCACACCTGGTTCCTACGGCGTGTCAAGGACTCACAGTATCCATTGAGGAATCGTTATGTTGGTAGTTTTGTGAATGGTTTGCGTCATGGTCGTGGCGTGTTTTACTATGCAAGTGGGGCTAAGTATGATGGGGAATGGTTGAATAATATGAAACATGGAAAAGGAATGTTTGTTTTCAAAAATGGTATGGTATTTAAAGGTAAGCAAAGAAAGATTATACATTTAGGCATGTCATGTAAATATATATAAAATTAATATAACTCATATACCAGTTCTCTAGAAGCAGCTATGTAGGAGAATGTTAGAATCTACCAATGGTATACAAAGGTGGATTGTCTGGAAATGAAAATGTAAATCAATACCAATGCATACTGAAATTTTCTTGATTTATGACATTTGGGACAACATCACATTTCCCACCCATTTTCCGGAGATATTAATTCCCCATGAATATTTATATCCCCCCTTCCTAGATTTCTATATTTTCTATATTTTACCCCAAGGTATATTTGACAGTGACCACATGTTGGAATACCCTGACATCAATCCGTCTGGCATGATCACTCCCGACATCGCCTCGGCTGGTCTACCTGTGCAACGTCCTGGCACTCCTGCATCAACACTCAGTGCTGATTGGGCAAATGGCTTGGAACTAAATATCGCCTTCTTATTTGATGACCGAGATATTGACTTAGACCAACGAGAACTGGAAGTGCAACAGGTCAACTATGTGATGCTGCAGCATATCAGTAAATTGAAGAAAATTTACACCTTCTACAGTTCTATTGGAATTGATCAGTCCCAGGATAATACATCAGTCATGACTCGGATGCAGTTCTGTAGATTTCTGAAGGACAGTCACATCCATCATGGCGATACATCCCTCCCTGAGATTCTGAGGCTGATTGCAGATGACAGAAATGAGGATCCCTATTACCCTTGGGAAAATATCTTGATGCGCGACTTCTTGACAGCATTGGTTATCATTGCCAACCACATGTTTGCTGATGAAGATCGTCATGGAAACCAACTGTTGTTACCGTGGTGTTTGGCGAAACTTGTGTCTGAGTACGTGTTGGAACATGCTTGTGACATGGGTGGGATCGTGTACACCAAACCAAGTATTACAATGGAACTCACCCAGTACTTTGATAAGGCTTATAGTATATACAAGTACTGGATGTCCCAAGCAAAGCAATGCCAGCCTGGTGTTCTATGTGTAAACATGCGATATATGCTTTGGATTCTGAATGATTATGGCCTTATCAATGAAGGCTTATCAGCAAAGAATGTCATCGATATTTTTGCATCGGATGACCCATGTGTTGCCCAGGATGAGTTTATCAGCCTCGAGGTTGAGATTTCATTCCTGGAGGTTTTGGAGGTGCTGGTTCAATGTGCCGAGGTGTATGTCACAGAAAACATGTTGAGGGAGAGTCCCACCACACGTCCTAGTACTGTGGACACATCACAAGCCCCCAGTGCAAAAAGTCGTCATTCAAGTCTCTCTGCAGGACAGTTAGATTCACCTGATAACGGTATGGTTTCACTGCATGATTTGTAACTGAATTTTAAACTTTAAGTACCTGAAAAGATTAGTTTTCTGACGAACTCAAAAAGCTCTCACTCAAAACATCCAAGTGTGTTAAACTTTAATCTTTTTCGGGCAGTGAATTCAGAAACAAACCTTCCCGCTACACATTGTAAAGTACTTAGAACTGTACCTACACGTTTGAGACATCATGACAATTTCTAAGAATTTTAATGATACGAGTCTACGACTGCTTCAAAATTCAAAGGAGAATATAGTCAATGCATTGCCATTAATAGCAGAACTTCCCCCCTTGTTGAATGAAAGGCAAAATTACAGCACAATGACATGTGCAACACAAGGAACATCCTGTACCTAGTAAAATCATTTTAAATGTACCCTGAAATAAAGCTAGCAATTGATAATTAGCATACCTTCCGTCTTTCAGAAAGCCGTATATCCAATCATTCAGTGTTGAATGTGATCGAAGAAAAAAATGAAGATCAGTCTCCACCTGCAATAGAACAGAAACCCACAGATGTGAAAGTGGAAACGCCAGTGAGAGGCATGGAGATTCCTATTCTCAGTATTACAGGTACAAACACTGTATATAAAAACTAAAATTATTTAACAATTATTCGTAAGAGGGCCAGGCAGTAGGACGACATCACTAATAGAGTAATACTAATTGTCCAATTCTGCATAAATTAAGCTAACATACCACATTTAAATGGGATAGATTCATCTTCTAATTGACTGCAGAAATAAACTGGAGAGAACGTACGTACGTGCCGTGTTTCGTAACCGAGAAGAAGTTAACCCATCAAGTTTTACGCATTAAGGTCCAGACACACCGGACGCGATTCGACAAAAACGCGACGCGATTTTTTTAGTTTTTGAAAGTTAATAAAACAGCCAATGAGAGCAAATTTTAAAAGATATGTAGACCAAATAACTGAAAATGTTATAATGCTTCTAAACATTAATTAGAAAATTTAAACAAAGTTATCGGTCAGTGAAAAATTTAATTTATAATCGAAAAATCGCGTCGCGTGGTCGAATCGCGTCCGGTGTGTCTGGACCTTTACGCCTCAATGCGGATCAATGCGCCCTATTTTCCGGCTCTGTCGAGCGCTGGCACTCGATGGGTTAAAGTCAGACAACAGGCCGTAATGGTTATCCAAATTAATGTTATTTTAACACAAAGCTTTGTCTCATTTCAGCATCGGGTGAATCGAAGCAGCTTGTTATAGATGATCATATTGATGATGTAAAAAATGATGAGACTGTCCCAGGTGACTCACAAGGTAAAAAGGACATTGAGCAGTTCTGAACTGTTATCCCTAGTCCTATAGAGGTCCAGTAAACGCCCTTCGTTACTGATTAGGGAAGCCTCACATATCGATTTTTTCCACGAGAAACGTCATATGTTCGTTTGGGGGTGGGGGTGGCAGCTGTGACGTTTCTCTGTAAACATCATGGAAAAAATCGATAGTTTTTATCTTTGCAGAGTATAAAAAAGAAAACAATTTGATACAAAAAGCAGTCTATATATTTGTCATACCATACCTGTTCTATACCTATGCATTTATATTATTACGCCTTCCTTGCATTGAAAACACTCAAATTTCGAGAAATACGCGCTAAAATTATCAATATTTCATGCAAAAAAAGTTGTTTTGAGAAACGTTGGAAATTTTGAAGTTCACATATATATTAATAAAAAAAGAGTATGTCAGCAGAAGATGACATATTCCTCGCGGAAGCATCGCCAATAGCCGACCGAAAAAAATAGTAGAAAATTACCTTATGTGTACTATAAGAACAAAATATCGATAACTATGTGTGACGTTGGGGGGGGGGGGGGGGGGGGTCTCCAGAGAAACGAACATATGACGTTTCTCATGGACAAAATCGATATGTGAGGCTTCCCTTACGAAGGGCCTTCGCTCGTAACGTCGAAATTCTCCTTATATTTTTCAGGTAGTTGCATCCCAACCAACGAAAGCTTGTTCATAGTATTAACACTACCTACACTGGCACAGATAGTTCAAGATTATACCATGCCCATATATATGTCTATTTCAGAACCATCCGAGCTGAGATATAAAAAAAAAACTATTGCAATAGTTTCATATTATTCTGACGCTGCAGAATACAACTAAAAATTCGTTGTAATGAGTGTAATTCAAACTTCCATCTTTGGGTTTCTAGACCGTCGTTGTACTCATCGAGTTATCGAGTCAACAGGGGTTGGTAGCGAGTCTTATCCAATTTCTCACGACCGATTTTTCCGCCATTTTGGGGGGTACTGCCTCTCTCACATTTGAGAGTCTCCGCACCACGAAATGCAACTTTTTAGTATTGTAGTTGTTTGTATAATGGTAAATTTACAGTTACAACCTTTGTCTAGAATCTTTCACGAGGGCAGGCAGTACCCCAAAAATAGCGGATTTTGGCCTTCGCGAGAAAGGCTAATTTAAGTGCACGGTATAGTTTTCGCGACGTCTTGGAGGACGCATAGCGTTTCCGATATGTACGATGCATATAATTTTTATAATATTCTTAACTTCTGTTTTTTAATATATAGATACGGACCACAGCCAGACAGCTCCACCACCATGTGACAAGAAAAATGGAGATGAACAAGAGAAAAGTGACCCAGTTATTTTCGAAGATGATTTTAGTTTGTGGTGTCTGAAAATCAGTGTTTTCTTCAAGAAGAAATTTTTCCCTGCCGCCGAGAAATACGAACTGTTAAACAAAATTGCTCATGAAAATATGTAAAGTGCTCCAGGGTCGGTTAGGCACAGTTGTAGTGTTGTTTTAAATTTGTTTACTACCAGTTTTTACGTCAGTTTAAACAAAGCTTTGGTCCAAGTATAGGAAAGAATGTTGAGGAAAGGTTTGAAATATATATCCCTTCGCAGGACGCGAAATATCTCCAAACAAATAACATTTTGTTGGGGAAACAATCTTTCCTGGTTTTGCTCACATTCGGGACATATGCCAATATGGCTACTGGCCCTAAAACAATATTTCTACAACATTTTTTCTAGTTTGCCAAGGTGGTTACTCGTATCGTTAACACTATAACGTTAATTTGACAAAGTGCAGTGTGATATCTATATGTTTGAAATATAAAATTTGTGAATTGTTGTATCATGTTCAATAAATAAATAATTGTTTTTGAAAAAGCAATTGTGTACCATTTAATCTGATATGTCATAAACCATGTTCCTGCATCAATTCCTTTAGAATAAAGAGCCCTGGATACGAGGTTGTTTAGATGCATAACACAACAAGCGTATTTGAATAATTATGGAATTCAAATATAAGAAACAAAAATTCGCGACCAGCTCATATGTTGAGGGTATATTTTTTCAACTTCTTATTTTCATGTCATCTATGCCCAAGTATTTTAGACAAACCAAAGCAGCAAGTTGTTCCGCGGATTTCTTACTTTTTTCCCTAAAACCATAAAATTAGAAATTGATTAAATGTCAGTTAAAAGGCTCAGCTCCAATCTTAAGCCAGTCTCGAGGAAAACTTGTGTTCGAGGAAAACTTGTCGACCGTACACAAGCTGAGAAAGTAAACTTGTCAAGGAAAACTAGCTCGTCTGTACGGGGCTTTAGGGTTCGTACAAAACTTGAAAGTCCTAGCCTGCGTGGCAGGCCCTCAGTTTTATGGGGGCTGATTTGCAACGGGCAGGATTCTGCCAGAGTCCTGCCCGTTGCAAATCAGGCCCCCCATAAAACTGAGGGCCTGCCACGCAGGCTATGCAAGTCCTTGAATGTCCTTGAATTTGAAAACAAAAATTCAAGGCCTTGAATGTCCTTGAATTTGTAAAGAAGTACTTGAATGTCCTTGAATTCTTCTTGCTTTAGTTTTTGGATATTTTCTGAAATTGTTTGACATTCAAGACGGACATTTTGTTGAACTGATTTTGCATGTTCATATCTGACCTCATTATAAAGTTACGTTTTGAACAATTCAACGTCATATTTTGCTGATTTCTAACGCCTTCTCTTCAGTATTTAGTCCTTGGGACCTTGAATTTGCTGATACATGGCCTTGAATGTCCTTGAAAAGTCCTTGAATTTGACTCTTCCTGACATGTACGAACCCTGTTTAATACATGTAATACGATACTCAGTCTCAGTTCTTACCCAGAAGTTGACGTATATTTTGCCCCATTGACACTGACCACACTTGTAAATACACGTTCTTCATTTTCAACCTTGAATAATAATAAACAATCGTTTGGTGAAGCTCAGTATGGTATCAAGAATTATCAAGAATTACTCAGACCGAGGTCAATATGTTATCTGCATGTCGAAGCGAACACAAAGAATGTCAACAAAAAGCTAAGACTGCATAGAGGAAATAATAAATACTCGTTGAAGATAGTTTTGCATTATTTTGTTACCTTTCTGATGCTGTCACAGTCTTTTTCTGACCATAATTTGAACAGTTAATCTTTCTTTAATGAAGCGAATCTTATACCACGTGCAAATTTTGTTTCGGCTTTTGAAATTTCGCGCGCTTTTTGGCAGCGGCCGACCGCGCTGGGGCTTGGGCTCTACAGCTTACCGATAACACTTATTGACTGGGACCGAGGAAAGTCCCAGTCAATAAGTACTTTATTATGTATCAATGAACACAAAAAAGGCCAACCCCCCCCCCCCCGGGAATTCACCACTGGTGAATACGATTTTCAGGTAATTCGGATACCAACAACGGCATGGCAAGGTACTGAAAATTGGCCCTCCCTACTGTACTAAGGTTTACGGTTTTCGCTCACCGAATCATAAAAAGGTTGCTTCAATCCTTGTTTCCTGAAATATGAAAAGGATAAAGTTTTTACAACTGGGAAAATTATTTCAATATATACTTTGCTTGACAATAGACAACTTGCATGTTAGACTATTTTTTTATTTAGGCAAAAAAAAGAAAATTCCCGTTAGTAAAATTGCAAAATTTGGTTGCGAAATGTTGTAAAATACTCAGAAAATATAGCCTTGCGAAGTTTGCATATTTTCAGTATATTTGTATTACGTGCGGAAATTGTTACCATTTTTGAGCCGAAAATGGTAACAATTTCCGCACGTAATACAAATATACTGAAAATGTGCAAACTTCGCAAGGCTATATTTTCTGTATTTTACAACATTTCGCAACCAAATTTTGCAATTTTACTAATTTCATTATGTTCTTTTTAACTGTTGTGTTTGATTCCCTTCTCTTTAGGGGTCGGTCATTATTTATGGCGGGGGTGGCACCGAAGAGAAAAGGGTTGGGTAAACAAAATTTTGAGCGAGTAAAAGGTTGGGTAAATGAAAAAGAAAACAACTCAAGCGTTGGGTAATAAAAATTTATTGTCATTTCCAAAGCATGACTCACTGAAATATTGGAGACCAAGAAGCACTGTCAACAGTCAGATGTCAATATAATATGTGAATCAATCGGAGTCACTATCTTGATAATATTCCGATATGTTGAGAGACAGATGGTGCCTCAAAAGAAAGTACATGTGCAGACAACATGAAATTTTAGACTGCAGAAAATTGCACAAGCAGTTATCAAACTCATGTCACAGAAGTGGTAAAGGACATGTGTGACAACTGAATGGTATCCGTTTGTAAAGTTTTTTTGCCAGGGGTGGGTATTTATTTTTTAATCGATATTTGAGGTTGGGTAATCAAATTTTTGGCTTTTTAATGGTTGGGTCAGCAAAATTTTTGCCACAAAAAACATTTCTCTTCGGTGCCACCCCCAACCATAAATAATGACCGGTCCCTTACTTAGATTAAAATTTAGTCTACCATGCAAGTTGTCCATTAAACAGAAAGATATTCGTCTCATAAACATTCACTGTGTATTCATGACATACTTTGTCCAGGCGAAAAGAATGCACTTTGGGGTGGTGTTGCCATAGTGTTGTCTGAAAAATATACAGAAGTAAAACTATTAACCACTCGTACGGGAAGAGACAATACGGCTACGAAGAGTTTAAAAAATAATCACAAAAGCTTCTTAAGTTAGCTTTTGAACATAATTCAGAAAACATTTTTCAAAACGAAACCTGTTATACGTGACGTCCATTTCATTGACATCATCTTCCCTCTTTCTCTTGCCTGAAACACATTCCTGAAAACGGTAGAACGGATAAAATTGTCATGATTTGATGTAATTGTACCAATGAATTCGCAATGCATTATACTTCAATGTCCTGTACCTTTTTTAAACTTTCAGCAATTAATCGACGTTTTTCTTCGCTTTCCATTAAGTAATCTCCCAAGTCCCAAATGTCACTGGAAATAAAACGAAGCAAACGATATCAACAGCGAGTTATATAGTCATAAATATTGGCTACAAAGTTGATGAGGAGACTGGGTCAACTACTGTAAAGAGCTGCTCAAAATTAGTAGGTAGACAAAGTTTGTGAACCTACTAATTTTGCGCAGAAGCTCTAGCACTACTTCTCAGCCTGCGAGCAGGCCTTCCTGGGTTACGGGCAGCGCTAAAAAGCCAGTGAGCCTTCTCGCAGGCTAACTACTTAATAATGGCTATAACATATAGCACTGTGAAATATTTCCCTTGAATAGAACTCGAAGCTTGTGCGCTATGACTATACAATGTATTGGGCATTATTTATAAAATATGTACCATAACTCCTTCATGGTTCTAGTATGTTTTAGTTTTATTCCTTCAGGCGTTTCCAGGACTCCATGCATCATCTGAGCTAGACAGTACTTGGTGTTGGAAAATGTATTGTCGTATTCCACTGCCTGTAAAGAAAAGCTTAAAAAGTTACAATGGAATACAATGAGTTACAATATACACAATATATCATTCTAATGCTGAATCAACTACATTTATTTATTTCACATGCCCCTACATGCTCAATAATTGTAAACACTTACGAATTGAATAAAATCTCTAATGACAGTCTCTAAAGGTAACGGTCCCTCTTTTCTAAACGGTGAAGAAATACTTCATCATTGATTTTTAACTTGATTTGGTTCATAAAATTATAAATGGGCGGAAAATTCATATTTATTAATATTATCTAATAGACTAATACATTGCCAGTCTTGTACCCAGAGTATGTCTGTTTGCAGGTTAGGTGTTGGGCATGACTAACCTACGAACGGGCATACTCCGGGATTGGACGATACGTTGCTCTATTACGGCCCAGCACTAGAATTGACGACAATTCGACCAACATCTCCCATCTTTGGCTTCACACTTCAGTCGTGTCATTCAATGGAGTTGAGTATTATTCCAGTAAGGAGCACGCAGGACAAACCTGAACACCGAAGGATTCCACTGCGCAGCTCGAGCAACCATCACAGAGTCGGTACCAGTCTCTTCTTGATATCGCTCCATATCTTGATAATTTTTTATGTCCGTTGATCCACCATTACAAATGACTGGAATGCTCAACTCCTCTGCTATTCTACGGATCACATCTTTATGCACTGGATGTCTTGGTCGCTCGTGTTGCTCTCTGTTGAAGAAACATGAGAAATGTTTCAGCTGAGAACATCTTAAAATTAAACTAAAATGTGTTGAGTATTTAAACTAAATCGCGTTTTTAGGGGTCTGCTAGTGGTCTGCACTTGTGTGACCTTGGGAGTCAAATGGTCGATTCCCAATTGTGAGATTGGTGCACAAAAATGAATCTATCACTGTTGACAAACTTTGTTTTTGTGCAATAGCTCTGATCAGACTGACTGACTGACGAACTGACTTACTAATGGAAGTCCTGGCTATAATGCACCATAATCCATACCAGAATCTATCTTACCTGCCATGGACAGCAAGAGCTGACACTTTTGTACCTTCAATCACTCGAACTAAATGGAGAGTCTCTTCAATCTAACAAGTTAGAATAATTCATATTTAATAGCTGAATAAATAGCACAGTTCTCCTTAAAATGTTGTAACAAGCTTTGATCTTTCAAGATCTGTAAGTTGAATGCACATTATTTTAATTAACTGTCTCTTTCAAGTTTCAAACAGTCACGATAGAGATTTTACTAGATTATACCTATGAAGGGAGAGTTTTGGTTTAACTCCACTTACCGTTGGTAAAATTCTTATTTTACATGTGACAGGTATAGAGACACCTTCAACTAGAGCTGTAAGAATCTGGAATACAACATAACACAAAATAAAACTTTAACACTGTTTCAAAAACTCATTAATAATTCATGAGGAAAACACAAAGAGAAATCATAAGCGTGGCGTGTCTTTATATGTGATAAAAAACGCTTCAAATTTCAACTTGTATTTTCTCAGCTAATATAAAATTATTTTGGAAAATTATTTCGCCAATGCCGTGATCTAACTGAGACATTTTTGAAGCTGTTTAATAACTTGTAGTTTGTGTTTTATCACATACAAAACACTCCGCTACGCGTCGTGTTTTATATGTGATAAAACACTCCTACTCGTTTATTAAACAGTACTTGAAAGTCAAATTTTGAATATAAGAACAGAAATTTAATGTTGAAAAAGCAACAGCATGACAGGACTCACATTTTTAACTTTTTCCGGATCTTTCAGTAGAGCAGCACCCATCCCTCCCTAAAAACAAAAATACAAACTCTTAGTGATATATTAGCCTACAAAAACCAACCACTAGCTGCGATTTTTGAAGTAGCAAATTTTACGGCATGGTTCCAACCTTGATGGAATAATCTTTAGGACAGCCCATGTTGACATCAACAGCAGAGACGTCTTGTTCTCTAGAAATTGAATGAAAAAGATTGTTTTGCAATGCAACATTCGACAAGTAGACCACTTTCATAATACAAATGGGTTCGAATCACTGATCTAATACTATTAGATCAGTGGTTTGAATATTCTTAAATATGCATCATAATAAGCCTTCTTGGCCTCATTTGTATGACTGGCATTGACAAACCCATTTGTATTATGAAATTCGTCTAAAGACATATAATTTATATTTTGCATACAGTATCTTGTAAAAGTTCATAAAACAGAACATACACCATCTTAGCAGTCTGTAGGGCTCTCTCTGGATCAGACGTTCCCTAAAACAAATATAATAATCAAGTTTAACAAGACCTTAGATGTTCCTTTGAACAGTTTAAAAAAAAAACACTTTAGTTCATAATTACCATTTGAAAAACAAGTTTGTCTGTTTCCTTGCTACAAGTTCGAAACACAACATTGCCATCTGGATGTACATAATCAACACTTTGTAAGACAGCTAGAAAACATGAGGGAGGCTTATTGTAAAGCACAGACAACAGAGGTTTAATCACTAATGCTTATAAGCGATTAATGAGGCCCTGTTAGGGTAAATTCCAAGAGATGACATTGCCTTGAAATGGCAACAAATAGAAACTAAAATAGTGACATTGGACACATCTTTGTCTAAATTGTGATAGTGACATGGAAAAGTTGGAAAGCAATAACAAAATCCCGAAAGTGACACAGCAATGTTTCCAAGCAGTAACATTACTTGTTTTGAAAATCAGACAAGCAACATGCATACCTGCCCTAACCGGGCCACATCAGTAGGTGTAAAGTGTCAAATGACTCAAATCAAACTGGCTAAACATTACAAATCTAGTGAAATCTATGTTTATGAAACCAACCATTCTCCACTCTTGAGCATCTCAGAAATCTGTGATCAATAATTTCCTGTTGGAATTAAAACGAGAGATATTCTTCAGATATTGAAACTACAACTGGAACGCTATATACCTCCATGCGGAAATTTGAAACCAAACTTGAAGGCCAGTCCCAGTCTTCTCACGCATGCGAAGAGTGCTCAATCAGTCAATCATGATATAAATACGCATGTCTGGGGGGGTGTCAGATTTTGGCTTCAAGAGAAAGATAGGCAGTTTATCTGAAAGTAGTGTTCCAGGTATAAATATTCATTTCAATGGTCTACTGTCTACATGGATCATGATTCATGTATATTAACGTTTGCAGTAGGCAATCTACTTTAACCGTAATACTGTGTATTAATCACTGTTTAACAAACATACCTCACAATAGACAAGGTCAGCTCCATATTTCAAAGCAAGTAATCTCATTGGCAGGCATCCTACACGAACCATAGGTGCCAGAATCTTCATATTTTTGTACGATATGCTACTCAATTTCATCCCATTTTCAGCCATTTTTATCGCGTTCAACAAGTTTTAGTATAAAAAAATTCATTAGAAAGCTTTCTTCTTAGAATATGCGACCTATTGCCCTATATACAGGCAAAAGTAGGTATTATTTTTCGAGCAAATAAGAATGAAAATTTTCTCACTCCTCGTTTAGAAAAAACCGCCATATTGGAAAGTGAGTGAGGTCTGGGAGAAAACTTCAATAAAATATGAAAAAATAGGTACGTTCGTGTACGTCGTTTATGCGTAGCAAGCACTGAGCCTTGGCCAGGCCACAGAATAGGAAGTTATACCAGAAGCGTAACTCTAGTCGTTTCCCTTATTGTTTGACGTCCACGAAAATTTTAACCCGCTCACGTCAGGCCACGCCATCCTGGCTAGTACAGCCGGAAGTTTTTATCAGGATTTGGTAGGTACAAAGTGCCGGTTGTACTAGCCAGGATGGCGTGATTGATGACGAATCGCTTGTAAAAACGAGGACAAATATTTGCTCGAGTTACGCTTCTGGTATAACTTCCTATTCTGTGGCCAGGCCAAGGTAAATGTGGCGCGTTTACACCATTACATTATTTGTTTGAGACTGGCTCACTTTGGCCTAGAATTTTGTAATTAATTTTGTGTATTTTTATGTGTTGTGACGTTGTCCGCTGGTTGTCCGATAATAGATAGCTTAAGATCTACGACGTCGACGTTAGCTAGGACGTCAGGGCTAAGCAGAGGACTGGGACTACATTAGGACGACATCCTAGTCCCAGTCCTCTGCATAGCCTTGACGTCCTAGCTGACGTCGTAGATCTTAAGCTATCTAATATCTCACTGTGGACACACGTTGCCATGAAAATAAGGCGCAGGCCAGGGCCGAAAGTGTTTACATTCCCACAAGCCTAGGCCACCGGTTGTAGAGGGCCCAGATTTCCTGAGTAGGTCAGGCCAAGGCTAGGCCAAAGTCTGTTTGCACTGTCAAAATGTATTTGCCTTTACTTCGATGCGCCAAAGCGTGTTTTCCATTCCAAACGTGTCGTAACTGAGCAGAATTATTAATCATATTGACACAAACGACTATGAAAATCATACTTACGTTTTATTAATCGATACATATTATTTAAATGGTAAAATTGAATCACTAGATCATTTTAGACTTTCAAAATTTACATTAATTGCGTTTCTATGGATAATTGCGTTTCAATGGATTATATATATAATCGTACCATATATAAATACACTTAAGTATAGACTAGTTCTTACTATAATAATACACTATGCGATGTATATATTTCAGTTAATTCTTCACTATATTGTGATCTTACGCCTATTACCAAAACCAAGGGTCCAAGAGTGCTGTGTCAAAACATTCAGAAATGCGCTAATTTCAGCACGATTTCTGGCAGATGCTGCCATTTTCAAATTGTCGATTTCAGTGATTTTACCATAGTCTATAAAGATACGATGATGGGGAATCGCAGTTTATGTTAATTTTTGCACAAGGTGATCGAGCTCATAGTATTTTCGTGGAATGAAGAAATCGTCCAAGAAGGATAGCTGAGATGAAACATGCAACCACGATGAATAATAGTCAATAGGAAGTTGAGACAAAGGATTTGTGCACGTTGAGGTACACTTCGACATCAAAGGTCTATTATTTTGTGGTCTTGAAATTTGCCGGGTTTCCAGATCATATCTTGGAATGTAGTTGCATTTCTGAATGTTTTGACACGAAAACACGACGAGAGGAAAGATCTGCGGTTTTGGTGATAGTTCGAATGTCGCGCTTTTCATCTGCCGAACCAAAGAGTTTAGTGACGTAGGAACCGGGGGAAACCTATAGAGGCACATGCTCCTCGAATTTTAGCTTTGACCCTAGGTTAACCTAAAATTCAAAGCGAACTTCCCAAGGTTAGCACTTTTTTCCATCCAGCAAACCGCCCTATCGATTTTCTAAAGTCGTTTTTTTGGGATTTTTTTATTAATTCGGTTAGGGTCAGAGTTAGGGTTGCGGTTAGGGTTAGAGTAGGGGTAGGGTTTGGGTTAGTTACATAGCCATTTAACACCTCTTCTATCTTCCGAAAATGACGTCAGGTCAGTTTGCTGGATGGAAAATAGTGCTAACCACTTCGCAACAGCTTGTTTATAAATTTGGAAATATTTCTTGAGAAATCTTGTCTGGACCAGTAGCAGTTTTCTTCTCTGAAGTTTTGAAATAAACAGACGTGCAGAAATACATAAACTAAAACAGCGGGTTAAATTTTAACCCAGGGTTGTTCTGGTAATCTACATTAGGTTCGGAACGTGATAAGCACGACACGTTTGAACGTGACATTAAAAACTTGTCAAGTATTTTAAGAACAGTTAAAAAGACTTAATTTGTAAATTATCTATACATTATGTCTTAGTTTCGTCTATATGCTTTGATCTATGTATTTTCCATAACAAATTATAACCCACTAATACAATATCAGTACAGTTTTTTAAGAAGATTTTTACAATAGGCTCCTCCTAAATCTTGCTAACCACGATTGATCTTATATATAACACAAAATTCAATTAAGAAAGAAATAGAAATTTAATATTTCGGAATTAAGTGCGCCTTTCTTTATTTTGCCAAACATGACAGTCAAAAGAGCCAAAAGATGATAGTTTTTAAATCAAACTCAAACCTTTATTGTGCTATTTGGAAAACAAAAACGGATGATTGAATAGTTGAATATTTTGATAAGAACATTTCAAATCTTGCATTTTCATATACATGCTATGACCAGCAGCGATTCCATCCCGACTTAGTATATAATTTAGTTCATTAAACTTACGTCGTTTCATGAAAATTTTCAGTGGTACTGTAAGCCGACTAGTCAAGTGTATATGCGCAGTTAAAAACTCAAAAATGGCTTATGATCGAAATTATAATTAAAATATTGAATTAAAAACATTTTAACTACAAATATTACCGACACTTGGACGTGCTATATGCTCAACCTGGTGTTTTCAATGTTTACAGGGAGCTCAACAATCAATAAATCATAGAACAAATACTTCAGTGATATATAAGGTTCAGTGATTCACGATGCTATTCTTAAAATATGTAAAACACGACAACTTTATACCTATGATATTATAACATAATTATATCATATTCTACTCCTAATCAGGACTGAGCTATCTAATACATTACTATGTTATACAATGACCATTTCACCACTGCATCCGGTGTAACCTTCGCGAATTTCGATTTCTTTCGCGATTTGTTGATTCGGGGTAAAGGACATGCGTAGTTTCTCCCAGAATGTGGAGCCCGGAGCCTTCGCCACCATGTATATAGCCATTCCAGGGATCCAGAGCATGGAAGAAAGAGCCAACAACCACCCGAAGAATTCTGCTGCAGGAGGATACTGATATGTTCCATACGAAACACCTTTCCACGAGTACAGACTGAATATAAACACGCCTGGATAGAGAATAAAGATATAGTTGCCATGGAAACTAACTTTATTATATACATCCGTTAGGTGGTAATGTCACAGAATAGAGACAAACAGAAGCCCGACTTCTTGGTTTTTCCTATGATTTTGGCGTAACCGTAATTCGTCATCAAAATGCTGACGCCATGGTCCTAGCCAGTCATTGAACTATAAATAAACTGGAAGGCTAACTGCTATGATGAAGGCCTATGATTTGATGAAGCCAAAATAGTTTTTCTGAGTTATGAGCAGAAATACTTGACCCCAAACGTCGGGCTATATATCAAATTGAAGCTATTGAAAATTGCTATTCGGTGTTGAAATTTCAAGACTTCAGCGAAAAGAAAAATCTTTAAAAAATACAAAAACAACTGCAAAACGGCAAATTATCGGTAATTATGTTTGTAGTTTTTCAATATTTCCCTTTTAGCTAAAGTCTTGAAATTTCTACACCAAATAGAGTTTTTCAATAGCTTCAATTTGATATGTAGCCCAACGTTCAGTGTTGAGTATTTCTGCTCATAACTCAGAAAAACTAAAATGCACTGGCTTCAATTCCCCCCCTGAGTTAGCCTTCCAGTTTATTTATAGTTCAATGTAGCCAGTGCGCTTATAAGAGACATCACCCCCCTGATAATATTCAAAATGGTGGGCGTCCAGGGGGTGAATGCCTCTCATAAGCGCAACTGGCTAGGACCATGGTGTCAGCATTTTGATGACGAATCATTGCGAATCATGGCTGTTTGTCTTTGTTCTGTGGTAATGTGTTCATTACCTCCGCCAGGAAGGTATGTTTTCATCCGCGTTTGTAAGTGTTACGCCTGTGTATTCTAAAAGCTTTACTCACACTCAATGAGTGGAGGTTCAATCTGAGCTTTTCTTGAGTGTCAGTGCTGTTTTAAAATTTGAAAAGCTGGATGGTTAGTGTCGTACCTTACTATGTGACTACTCACCCTCCAGCTATTTAAAAACAGCACTGACACAATAGGGAAGCTCAGATTGAACCTCCACTCATTGAGTGCGAGTGAGCTTTTAGAATACACACTCATTAAGTGTGTGTGTGTGTTTGTCTGTTTAGTCTATAACTTGAAAAATATCAAACGTACTAATAAGAACATTTATAGGACTAATGGACATTGCTCAAGGATAAATTGATCAAATTGTGGTTAAATGTGGATGAGTAAGCTGAATACGTAATTAGCCCATTGTATAATTTATGCATGGCACATAACTTAATTCTCTGGCAGAGGTATGCAGTCTCCGAGTTCACCCTATGTATCCATCATTTCTAAATTGGTATCCCTAAATGAAATATGAAACATGTTTTAAATGCAATGGCTAGCCTACTCTCATACTTACCTAATATGACAGCAGGCGATAAAAATTTCCACGCGAAAGCCCACCATGGTAAAATTTTCCTGCCAACCATTCGTTCAATATCGCTAACAAATCGATCGGTACCGTAGCCCCAAGATATAGTGATCACTTCGAAGAAAGCTAGGAACAGCAGTGAGATACCGCCTGACTGGATATTGAACAAATTCAGCACATACGCACCACTCTGCAATGAATATTAGCCACATATTAGCCTTGTGGTGGACGAAAATCCTGCTTAATTATGGTCGTTGCTGGTTGTTTTTTTCATAGTCTATCAAGATATGATAGTCTGGAAACTTAATAGAAGTCATTGTATTATGTTTTTGTCGGAGTTAATGTTAATTTGTGCACGGTCACGGTGATTGAGTTCATTGTATTTTCGCATAATGAAGTAATCGTCCAATAGGGATAGCTGAGGGATAGCTAATTACGTATAATTTTTCGGTGCTAAAAAAGTACCGGAAGAACTGAATTTTTCGGTTAACCGCACAGCTCTAATGAAGTTGAGACAAAGGATTTGTGCACGTTGAGGTGGAATTCAATATCAAACAAAAGCTTTCTATTTTCTAGCTTTGACGTTTGTCGGACTTCCAGACCACCATATCCAGCAAAGCACACGATGGCGATGTATGGTGCTACGAACCTCAGTAATATTTGTGAGCCCAAAGAAGAACGCGACAACACACAACGCCAAAATAACCAATTCCTTTTTCTGACGCAACTTCTTGCCGTACTCATCCACCAATCCGGTGACAACCGCTTCCATCATGGCGAATTGTGTATCAAGACCCAGCGTTAGTAACATGAAGAAGAACAACAGAGCCCAGAGAGGCGAGATTGGCATTTGCGCAATGGCTTCTGGATATACGACAAAGGCGAGCCCAGGCCCTGACTGCGCGACTTCGGACACATCTTTGTGAAGGATAAGTGACATGTGACCTAACACGCTGAAGATCACGAAACCCGCGAAAATACTCGTACTGCAGTTGATGATTGTTACAATCACCGCATCCCTGAAATACAACAAGAGATCAATGTCATGCGCAAGGAAAAATAACGTAGTTTTAAGGAGTTGTTCAGGATTACAGAGATGGAAAATGTTTTCTCGTTCTGGGAACCTGGGCTTAGGGTTCAAAATTTTCTGCAAAAGATTACAATACATAGGGAAAAATAACATAGATTATGTGTGCAGCAACATGTCTTGACTGATAAGGCATACATGATAAATCCTGAAGTAGTCATGATAGTACTCATAGTAGTTATATAACTTATATTACTGAAATATTATCACGAAATGACTGAACTTATATATGACATTAAAATAAATAATTCATAAACCTTGTGGCAAATCATGTCAGCCATAATATGTCACGTGGAGTGACTTTATATCTGGTAAAACACATGTGGCATTATATAATTGTTCATCTTAATTAGCATGATTATACTATGGTTCATCCTAATTAGTATTCTTTTGTAGTCGTATTTTAAGCTATTCAAAACACTCGTTGTCGTGTTTTATCAGATATATAACGCTCAGCTGCGCCTCGCGTTATATATCTGATAAAACACTCCTACTCGTCTTATAAATAGTACTTAATGTACCACAATCGTTTAAAACTGTCTGTGTTAAATGTCACTCGTGTCGTCTTTTGTCGAGCCTTGTAGATAAAATATGTTGTAATTGAAGTAAATGTTTAGTTTAAGGGACTCTGTGAATGGGGGCAATAAGCCCTGTAGGGATCACTAGTCATTTATGACAAAGCTAGTAAATAAATAAATAAAGTCTTGCAGGACTAAAAACAAATTTCCCACTGCCGGCTATATGAATATTTTCGATGAAACTGTTCTGCTGTAATTTAGGTATCGGTTTAATAGATTAATTAGGTATTCAGCCACTTCAATGTCAATAATAATTAGATGTTCAACAATTCAAATGTACAATCAGTGGAATTTTCAGAATAGAGATTCCCCAGCGACCAACTCAACAAAAGCAATGGCGGCCATGTTGGCGTTCCAGACAAAAGAGTCTAATTAAAATTCTTTTGAATTGGAACACCAATATGGCGGCTGTGACGTCATGTGCAAACGCTCTATTAGCTATCAAGGTTCCCAAAATTTCTGGGAATCAGGTTCCGATGCTTTTTCCATCTCTGCTGAACTACACGCATTATCAGACACAATAAGTTGAGTGATATGATGTATACATAATAACTCACTTAACGCAGTCATTGTTGTACTGGTTAAAACTTCCATAGGTAACCAAAGACCCAAAACCAATACCCAACGAGTAGAAGATCTGAGTGGCGGCTGCCACCCACACGTCAGCATCACCTAACTTGCTAAAATCTGGGTTGATGTAATAGATAATACCCTTGGAAGCCCCGGGAAGGGTAACACCACGGAAAAACAAGACCACCAAAATAAGGTATGGAAACGTGGCAGTAAAATACACCACTTTTCCAGAGGATTTGATACCCTTCCACAAACAGAAATACACCAAAATCCAGGCGAGGATTAGGCATATCACAAGCTGCCAGCGGAGTTCTCCGACCTCGTCAATCCCATCAGTCAAATGTAAAACATTGTTATTCCAGTATTCGCTACTTGGCGAAACGAATTCTTTCTTCGTAACAAAACACTTTAAAATGTGGCTCGTTCCATTGAAAGCATGATTTAGTGTGTTGTTTATGCAATGGGAGGCGTTGTAAACGCCGGTTGTGTTTACTTCGGGTACGCCTGCAGTTGCCACGACATTGAGCTAAAAGTTAAAGAGAATTGCGTTAAGTGCGGTTTAGTTTTCTTGCTACCGGTCCGTTTACATTTGCAATTTTTGCAGTGATTTTAGGTGCGATGTTCTTCTTCTGATGGATGTGAACGAGTCGATGAGTTATGGATGTTCAGATGAGGGCAGTGGGATGCTGCCTCCTCCGCAGGCCCTCGTTGTGTCATGGGAAGGTCACGATTTCGAGAGTGCCTGCGGAATCTTGTAAAATGAATAAATGTTGTTTTGAACCTGCTTCGTTAAAGAAGGCAGTTTTATTCGTGCAACGTTGGTGTGGACAACAAACCTCGTTAAAAAATGCTTCCTTCCACGTCCTTAGAGTCGCCAGTTTAATTTAGAAGTTTCACGCCGCTTTTTTATATCCTGTTTATATTCAAGATTATGTAGAAATTTACTTGCTGACGTGACGCCGGCGCCATTTTTTTTACAAGATTCCGCAGGCCCTCGCCAGATTGTGACCTTCCCATGACGCAACGAAGGCGTGCGGAGGAGGCAGCACCATTGAGCTATAAATAAACTGGAAGGCTAACTGCTATGATAAAGGCCTATGATTTGATGAAGCCAAAATAGTTTTTCTGAGTTATGAGCAGAAATACTTGACCCCAAACGTCGGGCTACATATCAAATTGAAGCTATTGAAAATTGCTATTTGGTGTGGAAATTTCAAGACTTCAGCGAAAAGAAAAATATTTAAAAAATACAAAAACAACTGCAAAACGGCAAATTATCGGTAATTATGTTTGTAGTTTTTCAATATTTCCCTTTTAGCTAAAGTCTTGAAATTTCTACACCAAATAGCATTTTTCAATAGCTTCAATTTGATATATAGCCCAACGTTCAGTGTTGAGTATTTCTGCTCATAACTCAGAAAAACTAAATGCACTGGCTTCAATTTCCCCCCCTGAGTTAGCCTTCCAGTTTATTTATAGTTCAATGATGTATCCTCATCTGAATAACCATAACTTATCCACTCGTTCACATCTATCAGAAGAAGAGAATCACACCTAACATCACTGTTGCAAGTGTAAGCAAGCCTGTAAGACAGGCATCTCTCTAAGGCCAGATGATCTTGATACGCGGAAAAGTACTGGCACTAGTTGTCAAATAGAAATCCATTTTATGATTAAAACAACTGAATATCTCCTGTAATATACTTTATTTCGATTCCATATTTTTGTCAGAGCTATAGTTCTCATAACCAAACATAATAACAAAATTTCAACTAGTTTCATAAAGAATAACGAAAGATATAATTGACTGAATACATCAAAATGGATTTCTATTCGGACAACCCTTTCTGAGCGCTGATTGGCTAAAATACGAACACGAGATCACCTGGAAGGTAGACCTCTCTCTGAAACAAACATGTCCCAAAGACAGACATCTCCTTAACTAACACTAAGTCAGTCAGAATTATATTTACCTGTTTAGATAAGGTTGGTCCATAATAGATGACGTCACTATTCACAGTTAAAGTGACGTCATTGTCAGTTTTGCTATTCAGTTCGCAAACATGTTCGGGATTGGCCGAGACATGGAAGTTGATTGATTGACATTCGGGATGTTGTAGACATTTGACGACGCAATTTGCAGCATTGTCTACATTCACTGTGGCAAGGACATTGCCATCTAAACTGTAGCCTGTAAAAAATGAGAATTCAGTAATGTCTTGCAATGAAAACACTTATTAAAGCTAGGACACTTATTATTTTGCTAATCTGAAACCATACGTATGCAGATTGTGTTATACATGTCTACAATTTATGCACGCCAAGTAAAATCCTGTACTCATGTGCGGTTGTCTGATTGTATTTGTGTGTCGGTGATATGTGAAAAGAGTGTAAACACCTGCGCGGGTTCCGAGTACACCTGTTCCTCCTACAGTAATATTTTAAAATATTCGTATAATAATCGGATAGCTCCTTTGGGGTAGAGCGGTTTAGAACCGATAGTGCTATCCAGTATATAAGTAAAGTTTAAATTTCCCCTATAATTTCTGGACAAGTTTCATAGCCAGAAAACAGACCTACGTTTCGCCCGCCCCTTCGTCGACCCGCGAATTTTAGGGCGGGCGAAACGTAGGTCTGTTTTCAGGCACTTGCACTTGTCAAGTATTCCTTGGCGGCCGAATAAAATTTTCTCGTCCAAAAGCTGATGACTTGCTTTGGAACAAGGTTCCTTGGCAAGGAAAAATGGTCACATTTTTTTACCGTAAGCGCATTTTTTTACACGAGCAAATAAAACTGGTCATGGAAAAATTGCCTGTCTGTTATCTGGTGGTTTCAAGGGGTTGGAAGTTGAGGCTTGTTCTAAAACGAAAACATTCATAACCTATAACCTACCTTTTTTCGGGTCTTCAAATCGCGCTGTCTGTGTGCACGGTGTTCTCGTCACAGTCAGAACACCGTGTATGAGAAATGCAATTAATTTCACCCCAATTAACACACGCATACTACTTCCTTTCCCACTGCAGACTGGCTTCGACTGTTAGTCCGACAAACAAATCCCTAACCATGACAACACTTTACAGGTATGTGGTTGCTGTTAATTAAATTGTGGCCTTGTGCATAATTAGCATATTTCACGCGTTGCCTGCACCCAAATAAATTTTAGGAGAAAACTCACATGCTTGGTTACTATTGTTCTGATAATAAGCAAAGAGTTGTTCCAGCTCATTTGCATTAAGTTCGGCACATCAAAAGTTCGACATTTGAACAATAGGCCTTAGGGGGTATCAATGATATATTATTTATGAATTATATATTGTAAGCCATAAAGACGATGTATTTTGTTTGGAGGTCATGCAGTATCTTTGGTAACTGACGTAGATTTCCTAACCACAAGCCCTCAGGCCTCTAATATATATTCAGATTCTCTCCGCCTCCTTTGTAGAATTAGCAGGTGTTATTGACAACTTCCATAGGTCGCAAAACGTTTCGTTTGGTTGCAAATGCATGTACTGAGAACAGCTAGCATTTAAAAATAAGTACTTTTCATTGCCAGTAAATTCAGTAAGTGTCTGATAAATCGGTTCCTATTTTGAACGTAATATACATCCGTAGTTGACCTTGTTTGGATCTACGATTACATTATTGAATAACCACATTAACAAGTAAACAAAATAATGTTTTCATTTTGGGGGCAATGAGAACCCAAAATCAAAACATTCATCAGACAACAAAGCGCAGTATCTATAATAAACAATACTGACGTCTGTGACGATAACGTTTCCATATTTTCCCGAGGTCTCATCCTTGACCCATTCCATTTTAGCTAATTCTACAAGTTAGTTAATTTGTAAAACGAGAACACGTCTTAATTAAACAACAGGTTCTCTTTTGATACTGCACGCAATGATATTTTGACTTGCATAAATATTATATGTGTGGTAAGATATTGATATCGCATGCAAAAATCACGGATGGCAATCTATTCAGTGATTATAGGAATTTATTTTCCCTGACAAAGTACATCCATGTATCGGTAAAATGGTATAGAACACCGAGTACTGTGCCAGTACTGTCTTTACTAGATCGTCTTTTATGTAAAATATAGCGCGTTAGAAGCGCTGCTTTATAGTTCATAGACCAACTTTTCCCATCGTCTCTTGATGTCAAAATAGGGATGAGTTCATGAACTCCTTCATTAGCTTCCATTCATACAAGATTATCGTTTCACCCTAAAATAAAAACGGATATATCACCCCTTTATTAGGGGCCACGTCCATATTCATGTTGCCACGCATAACGTCGAATCGACGTTATGGGTGGGTGGGTGGGTTTTTACATCAACTTCTCGACGTTATCTGACTTATCTCGTGGCAATTTGACTATTTACATCCGAACAGACCGACGTTTTGCCAGTATTATATTATTTTGAACTAATAGAGTTCAAAACAAAGATGGAAGTATTGAAGTGACATTTATCGTGTCAAATGCGCGTGAATTTGTGTTCGCGAATCGCGACATTTTTCTGCGGTAAAACTTCTAATTTTATGAAGGCAAGCACAATAGTCAATAACTTTGAATTGAAGCCTCGGCATTTTAATGCATTTCTGAAATAAATTGATTGATTATATACCATATTTTATGAGAATAAGCGGTCAAAATACGGCAGGGTAACGATCGACGTTATCTGAGGTGGGTGGGTGGGTACCGGTGATAACGTCGATTCGACGTTATGCGTGGCAACATGAATATGGACGTGGCCCCTTACAATGGTCGTTTCTGGCCAAAACTCCTCACAGTATAAAAATGAAATGAGAAACAAACCATGCAAATTTCTTTCTTGCTTTTTTCTGCCCAGGCTTTTTGCGTTCCACCAGACGACTGTCTCGAGTTAATAATCCAGCTACAAAAAATAGACAATTCCCATTATAGACTAATTTTAAAACTAGGCAAGGAGATGCAAATAAATCACCACAGCTAGAAAGAGCATACGAAAATTAGTAAAATGACAAAATTTGGTTGCGAAATGTTGTAAAATGTGGGAAATATAGCCTTGCAAAGTTTTCAAATTTTGTATACTTTTGTATTGCGTGCGACATTTTCGGCCTAAATGTGGTAGGAATGTGGTAGGAATTTCCGCACGCAATACAAAAGTATACAAAATTTGCGAACTTCGCAAGGCTACATTTTCCTCATTTTACAACATTTCGCAACCAAACTTTGTTATTTTACTAATTTTAGTATGCTCTTTCTAGCTGTGATGATTTATTTGAGTTTCCTTGCCTAATTTTAAAATTAGTCTATAATGGGAATTGTCTATTCCCACAATTATAAAGGTAATCTTTTCTTTTTCTTTGGGTACAGGGACCTCGCTATAGTGTGAGTACTCCCGTGTGACATTTCCCATAGAGGAAAAAATAAATATCAATATTAATACACACGCAAAAATCTTGTAACAAGTTTGCCAACAAACCGTCAACAAGTTGTGTTCGCACTGCTTGTGCCAAGTTGTCAACAAGTATGAAATAACTTGTAAACAGTTGTAAAACCTTGATATTAACAGACCTGTTGCAAGGTTGTTCCAGCGAGTGCGATACAGTCATGATAAAACAATCTTGTTACAACCTTGTGTCGTCAACCTTGTAACATTCTTATTATATCGTGACTGTATCACACTTGTTAGAGCAACCTTGTAATCGTGTTCTCAAAAGTTAAGACAAACAAAAAAGTTATAAAATGTCGTTTACCTGTCTGTAATTGTGCGAGATAGTCAGAGGAAAGACTTGTTAGAGCTCGACTGATTGCCAACCTGATCGCTCCAGCTTGACCTGGATATAAAGAACGTGCATCACAGATTTTTTTTTGTGTTTTTGGTGTTACACACTTAGGTGAAGATATATGTTTGTGATGTTGTCTCTGCATGAGTGTGTCCAAACCGGACAAGCTGAAAACTATAAGTGTCGTTATATAAGACATCGCTCTATGCCGCTGTACACTATGGAAAATCAGAATCCAAGAAATGACTTTTTATTTGAATGGTTTGAGTCACACGATGCAAACGCGGAGAAATGCAGACAGAAGAGAGACCATCACCTAGAAGAGAAAGACTAAAGAAGGATTCACGGTCTGGGTATGTTAGAAGACGAGGGGTATGTTAAAAGATGAGGGGTATGTAAGAAGATGAGGGGTATGTTAGAAGATATCACTTGATCATGGCTATTTGAAAAAAAAAGGAAGATAGAAAAGGAATATCATGGATAGACTGTGAGGTGGAAGATTTGAATAATTAAATATGACATTGAGCCGCAATGCGCCCTACTTTTTTTGCTTGTCTAACGCCAGACGATTCCACAGCTTAATAACTTAACGAGGGCCCCCCTTTAAATCGAGGCTTGACTCGCTAGATGAGATATCAGGATGACAGCAAAAAGAGCGAGTTCAGTTTAGACTGGATTTTGAAACTCGTATACCTGTTGAACCTCCACCGATAACATTACATTCCACATCAAACCGTCCCATACAGTTCAGCGTTATCAATGGATACCACACTTGATTTCTTGAAAACCAAAAGGAAACGGTTGGTTTTCTAAGACAAATACTCTAAATGCGTTTAAAAGATAAATATGTCATAAACATAGGCTTGTCGCAAGTTTGGTACCTGTCTTCTTGTTTCCGAAAGTATTCAACGATAGGAATATCATTGATGGCAATTTGTCCATTTCCGTTGGAAATCCAGACTTCAGCCATGGCTCGCTTTCTGTAACCTAAATTCATAATATATCTTCTAGAATATATATCGAGTATAGCGTTCATTTCAAACCTATTGTACACCAGGAAAAATAGGCCTACGACTCTATACTATATAGACTGGAGTGTTGAATCGTTCCATATCGTTAACGTGATTTGTGTGGGGATTATATTTATTTACTTAAAACTGGCTAGCAAAACATGACTGAACATACCTTTCCCATGCGCTTTCCCATTTTCGTCAAGCTAAAAAACAACACAAACTTAACATTCAGTATATACAGCATCAGTTGATAAGTTGAAATGATTGTTCAGCGAAAATTAGTGAAGAATCTGTATCTTGAACCTGTCCAATGGTGAATTGTGACCCTTCGTGTTTCACTGGAGTCTGAAATCTTTCCAAAAACATTTTGATATCGTCCGAGTTCTCGTGCTTCTTTTCACTTGCTAACCTTTTGAGACGATGGATGACGACTTCGTACTGTACGGAAGCAAGTTACGGAGTAAAAAGTTAGAGATAATTCCAAATTCAGAGAAATATGAAACTGCCAAAGAGTACAAGAAAATGTCGTGCTCACATCTTTTAACATCAATTCTTCCTTTAAAAGTGCTTGGAGTTCATTTTGATGAAGCCATCTCATTTTTCCTTGTTTAACAATCTCTGCAATTACTGTCTCTCTGAAAAGAAAACAAATATAATAGCATGCATCCTATGAATGTGATCTCTAACCTGTGATGTGAAGGATATACCACTATAACTTGAAAAATGCAACCCTATGTGATTTCTAAGCAGATTTTATTTAAAAAATCATTTACTCTGACTCAATGTCAGCATTCCCTTCATCTGACTCTGTTTCAATGGACTCGGATTGCTCCACCTGTCCAGTTGGTCTGCTGTATCGAAATATATCCTAGAATTGAAAAGAGAAATGGGAAAATAATGGGATGAATTTTGCTATATACACTACAGTCTAGAATTTGACTTACATAAATTAAATCATGAAAGGCAGTAGCTCCAGTATAGAATGCAGAGTGAACTGGTCGGCCATCTGAAGACAACATACCTGCAATACAAATTTATAAACTATATACATATCAAAATTTTCAATAAAATCAAATGTCTTCCAATATATGTGATAAAATGATTCCATTCAATCCCACAACTCAATCCACAAAATTTACATTGAATATGTAGAACTTACTTTTACTTTCTGGAAAAAGTTCTGATGGATGCTGCAAGTTGGAAGATTCATAACAAATTAAATATATAAAACTGATTTATATGTATGTGTGAAATATTATCTCTGACAATTCATTGCAAGTATACACATATTAGATTTGCTAGTAAACTAACCCATTGAGCTGCAATGCACCCCACTGTGCCCTACTTATCTTTTCTTACTTGTCTAATGCCAGACAATTTTACTTGTCAATGGGGAAGTTCTGCAGCTAAATGGTTAAGTCTTGTTGATCTACCTTCATCATTGGTCTAGCATCATTGGCAAAAAGTTTTGTAGGCAAAAGATACCTCAACGATTCCTACAACAGATTATACATCAAACATTATATGATACAAATTTGCAGATTTAGGAAATTCAATACACGTCAGATGAGTGCAAGTGTACCAAGAGGATCTGATATTCAAAACATGTTACCTCCACATCACTATCTGTGAAAGTTTCGATGTCAGCACCCATCATTTTTGCCAGCCATCTTTTACCCATTTCATACTTTTTTATTTCATCTGCCATAAATTCAGCTGTAGAACAAATTAGGTTACTTATGGACACGGGCATGTGCTAAACGGACTGTACCGCATCTTTAAGTGTGATTAATTTAACTTATACTTACCATTTGACTGGTCTTGGACTCGCCTTTGGCGTTGAAAACTTTTTGAATATGTTCCCTTTGGCAATAATGAAATATTTTCATTGATAAATCCTTTTCAGGGACCATTCGTTATTTATACTGGGGGTGTTGTCACTTTAATTCTCTCTACCCTAAACAGTCCATTCTCTGTAGTTATTTATTCTTATCTTTCAAAGTTAGGGGGAGAGCAGAAATCTAGGGGGAACTGGGGGCATGTTTTCTGGGGAAATTTGAATTGGCATTGAACTGGTGTTGGCTAAATTGAACTACCTTGTGAGGTCAGGACGTAACTGGAATAATTAAGCTGTTTTTCTATGAATACCCATATCCATAAACATATTGTATATGAATACACGCCTTAGTCTATTTATAGGGGTAGCCCCCCCTGTCAAAAATGTTACTGCACGCATAGTCGCATATATTGTACGTTTCGCACAAAACTTACAAAGCTTCGACAGCATTTTTCGCAGGGATTTATATTTCTGTCCACAGCGTTAAAAATCCGTTTTGAAACATTAGAATTATGGATAAATTGCCATATTCGTGATCTCGCTCCTAAATTGACCGCCATTTTGCGGACAGCAGTTCAGATTCCAATAATCTATGAGATCAGTTGAACGGCTAATGGCATTTGAGGAATTTGAGACTGGTAACTAGTGGCGGGAAATTGTAAAATTTTGTGAAAAAGTGAAAATCAGAAAATGTTGAAAAATATTGAAAAAATCAGCAAATGATTAATGATATTACCGATATTCTCACGTTTTTTGGTTGCTGAAGGGAAGGACGAGGCGAACTATATTGGGAACAATAAATAAGGGAGTAAAATCCGAATTCCTGCAAAAGAAAAGTGAGAAGGAAGGCTGTAGCCTACAACACAGCGGGGGCAAGAAGAACATTTGGAGCACTTGTTAAAACATTAAAACATCTTAAAGTCATCTTTTGGTTCATCTTGGTTAGTTTCGGATCTACTTATTACTTTAATATATGTCTCAAAAAGGTTGTGTGTTCCATTCCCAACCTATAAACGTTCGGTATAAAAACGGACCAAATAATTAACAGACCAAATAATTAACAGACCAAACAATTGCAACAAATAATAGCAATTATAAATTATAAATTAGTGTTACACTAATTAAAATTGAGTGCATTTGCCTAATATTATGAATGGTCAATGGTAATTAATGGTTAATGCAGTGGTGAAGCTAGCCATAAGAATAGGTCATGCTATGCAAATTTTCAACTGACTTTCATTGTTCAAACCTGTAGAAATGTCAAATGTGTTGTTTTTAACACAGGTTTATTAGTATAGCATGTCCAGTTGCCATGGCTAGCCTCGCCCCTGGGTCAATGGTATTGTAGCAGGATATTGGCAGAGCATACTTTCCATTAGTTGCAAGACCGTATTTTAGTGAAGTAAAGAAAGACATAGCACATTTTTTCAATATATATCTAATAAATTCTAATTCTTTTATAAGGTTTTAATACTCCAGTAGTGCTGAAGATGATATTGATGGAATGCTGAGAGGATGAAAAAGAGAGGCCAGGCAGAAGACTCTATAATTGACCAAGGTATAAAGTCAGTGAGCTTTTTGCACTGTAACATTTATCTTAACAATGTACAATCCATCACAATAAATTGAATCGGGATAATGTTCCATTATCTTTTACCACTGTTTCTCATGCCATCCAGTCATATTTTTGACCCATTGTTTAAGAGCCTTTTCGTGATCAATGCAGTGACAAAAAGCCAAACGAAGTGGTCAAAGGAACATGTGTAACTGAGTAGAATTGAATGATTAGGTGTATCTAGTTAAATAATATTAGTTGTGTTGCCATTTAACATATATAGCCATTTCCATTTTTGGAAAGCTGCGATGTGAAAAAAATGAGCAGAACTCGATCAGGTGTAATTCAAGGCCTCCTGAAAGGGATTTCATAAAACTATGAATTATGTCATTATTAGTGGCAATGTGCCCAGATTTGCCCTACTTTATTATTTTACTCTGTCTATATATGCCAGACGATTTTACTCGTCAGGGGGAGAGTGCTGCCACACCAATGGCTTAATGAGTTATGTCCATGCATCCTGTTAACCCTTTAAGTGGCAATGCACCCTACTTTATTATTTTACTCTGTCGAACGCCAGACGATTTGACTTGTCAGGGGAGAGTGCTGGTGCTTAGTGGGTTAACACACTGAATTTTAACTGCCTGATGACTGTCACTGTACAAGGTACATGGCATGAAACTTAAAGTAGCGATAAGTTTATTTTAAAATAAACCAATTATTAAATTATAATAAATAATTACTCTCCTGAAAATTTACTATATATTGCAAACTCTTTTATCTTCCACGAAGAAACAAACAGTGTTTTTATAGACATTTTTATTTATTATATCATGTCTTGTATGCGCATACGCCGCGTAGTTTATTTATTTTCATCAAAGCATGCATAGTTAAGCAATATACAGTAGTAGAAATTATGGCATCCTGCTTGCATGAATTCTCTAAAACCTTAACCCCCTCACTGGGAAGTGGATGGTGCCAGATGCTATTAAATACAAACAATAAATTAAGACAATATATAACATTTATATTATAATTACAATTGACAATATATGACAAAAGCAGCAACAATTAAATATAACTAGAAGTCTAGAACTACTTTTGAAAGATTCAGGAAAAGATTTAGCTTCCAGAATGTCTTTAATCGAATTTACACTTTACGTTTGTGTTGTGTACATTCCAAAGACATTCGATTAATTCAAATAATTGTCTGCCCTCGTGGGAGATTCTAGACAATTCAAATAACGTGAAAAGCGACTTTTAAAAGTGTAACTGTACATTTACCATTATATAGACAACTACAATACTAAAAAGTTGTATTTTGTCGTGTGGAGACTCTCAAATGTGGGGGGCGCAGTACCCCCAAAAGGCCCGCTGAAAAGGCTAATTGAAGTGTCTGGATGTAAATTTGCGATGACGTCAGATAACGTTGTTAACTCAGCTTTTGGGTCAAGGTCTACGTCCTACATACGCAGGGGCGGACACTAGGGGCCAATAATTTCTGAAAGCATTTGAGTGATAGCTGAACAAGTGCATGTGTAACCTAACTGAGTTGTAACAATCAACAAAGAAAGCGTTGGTAGGCTATAAATTAAGCTATACACTGCATGGAATTCCAGCTACAAAAGATGGTCATTCAACCCACTCAATATTTCGCCGCCAAAGTGCCTGCCGCTGGTTCCGCATTCAGAAAAACATTGTAAGACGTAGGATGTTTAGTTTTTTTTTATTTCAGAGATGTAGGGGTTGTCGTATTTGGTATGTGAGCGTATTATGACGCCATATCTCACAACATCGACAACTCATGTACTCTTCAAAATGTCGTAGGAATATTTTTATTACATAAATTACATTGAAACCCCGACCAAACCCCCGCTTGTAGTAAGAGGCTAACAACTTGTAGTCCTAAGTATTGCATTGCATATATTAGCATGTTAGATTAGACTGGTTGCCTGTTTACATCAATGAAACATCAGAATAAGTTTTCTAAAGAATGAGTCGCAAACATTAATCATAAGCCAGTCGCAAAACATGTTCATTTTAAGTAGTTTGTATTTTTTCCCAGATGGTTCAAATCATCCTTCGTGCCATTTCATGACATAATTTATATGATTTATGTTAGAAAATTATTTAGTATTATTATTTAGGACTCGAACTAGCGAGTAAATTTATATATAGTCAAATATATACTCAAATTTATCAGTTTGAATATAGTCAAATTTATCAACAAGTTTACTCATTGTTTTGAATAAAGACTAAAGTAAATCTATGCTGAATTTAATTTTCTCAAAAGTTTGAGAAATTTACTCAATATTTTGAGATACTGTAGGCGTATTATTTTGCTCAAGTTTTGAGTCAAAATACTCAAGGATTTTTTCCATTTCATGACATAAATTATATGCTAATACTAGAAAAAATATTTAGTATTACCACATACGTAGCTTACTATTCAAGTGACTTAAGTGTTATTGCCGTCTGATCCTCTATCTCGCGTCATCAATCCTCTATCTCGCTATCTACAGAGCTTTGGCAAAAATGAACCGTTTGACCCATTCAATAGTTGGGGAAATAGACCACAGAAATGAATTTTTCATGCTCAATTTAGTTTTTAACCGTAATTTCACGTACGTTGTTTCAACAATCAAGTCACGCGTTACAACGTTTTGAATATTTAGTTTTTTTGTTGTCTATTTCTCCCAAATCAATTAAGATGAAATAATGCAATAATGAAATACAATAAAATTCTATATAGAATAGTTTTCCACTCTATTTATACAAAACCACTTGAACAGGTCGTCATAAATTATTTTATTTATAGTGGGAAAGTACTTAATATGCCGCCGCACGTAGCACGAGGCATACTACTTAATTGTTAGGTAAACATTGCATATATTAGCAGGTTATATTTCAACAGATGTGACACATGTGCTTCACGTGCTGTTGTCCATTTAATGACATAAATCATACTTTATATATTTTGATATAATCATGTGATCTGGTTATGTAATCGAATCCTGAGTCTTGACCCTAACCCAACTCTAACCAAACTCGCCATTCCGTTACGCGACACAAAACTGATATGTCAACTTTAGCTATTTTCAGGGATGGATCCAGCATGATCTGGTAGGGGGGGGGGGGTGCTCTGCCAGCTCTGGTGCCGAGTTGTGTCGGTCATGTGTGCCACCCGCCCATCAACTTGCTTCACTACTGCAAAGTCTAGTGCTTGACTACAGTATTTGAATTGTAATTGTTGTTCACAGTTTGCTTATCATCATGTTATTACTCAAATTACTGTATCTCATTTTGTCTCTAATAATTTTTTGCTTTATCATGAAAAATAGCTAACCCTCTGGCCAGGGCTAGGACCCCTCTGGCACCCCTCTAGCACCCCTCTGGCACCCCTCTAGCACCCCTCTGGCCAGGGCTAGGGGGTGGGGGTGCGCACCCCCTCCCCCCCCCCCAGTAAATCCATCCCTGGCTATTTTCGGCCTAGTCGCGTAATTTGGAAAACGGGTGTAATATTTATGACATGTGTGTAAGCATTGCATATATTAAAGTTATGCGGGTTTAGCGTTAGCCTATTGAAGGGAAGATGGCTGTCAGAAACTATGTTACGGTTAACGTCTATTCATAAATACGGTCCTTCACCGTCACGTGTGTATTGTATTTTTGCCAAATCCACCGATAGTAATTTCCAATTTACCCTATCGTTCGAGTCACGCATAGGTAACTTTCCTAAAACATTGCTGTTGGTTAGTTGGGCAAAAATAGAGAGTTTAAGCTTCGCGTTATACGGTAAACGCCAGGCAAAGAAAAATTTTACGGAATCAGGTAATAAAGGGTAAATGAACTTGCTGTTTTAAAACTGCAATGCATGACTATTCTTTTGACACAAGAAAGAAAATATGAAACGAAAACGTTTAACGAACATTTTGCGAAGAAATTCGAACCTGCTGTAATTGCCGTTCCCGGAAACGCGAAGCTTTAAACTCCCTATTACAATACACACGTGACGGTGAAGGACCAGTTTTATGAATAAACGTTGTCGTTGACTGACATACTGTAGATAATGAGTTATATTGTTATTCTAATGAGTTTCACAGCCATCTTTCTTCCATATAGGCTATGCCAATGGTTTAATTTAAACAGGAGCAGTTCATATAGATATTGTTGATGCATGAACACTTATTAATTTCCCTCATCTCGATAAATGCACAACCCCAATTTCCCCAACTATATGTTTAATTTATTTTATCACTTTACTAATAAACTCTGCCGAAGCCTCTGAGCTCTCCATATTACTGGAGTAAAGCTCAGTGGCTGGCCCTGATAAGAATGAGCTCAAGAGTTTAGGCCATTTACATCTAGTTCAGGGTCCGACTAATTTTATACCAAGGTTTGGGTTTACTGAAACTGAATTCTGTAACCTCTTTATAGCCAACCTAAAAATCACTGAATTTTATGTTACCCAGGCAGCAGTATACTTATATGTAAAATCAGGCAGAGAACAGTTGTCTTACATCTGCACAGTTTGGTATATGCCTACATGACATAAATATTAAGAGTCTTGCGTCATGTAGGGGATGAATTGCGATAGTGGACTGACATGGCTGGCGGTTTCCAGCCATTTAAAACCGGCTGCTACGCAGGTGACTGCTGATCGCAGACTAGCTATATATTAAATGCTCATTTCAAACAATTCTATGGAATAATTATGTCATTCAATGATTAATGACCTGTTCTATTTCATACCTATAGTTGGGATTGCAGAGATGTTCAGATCGATGGGCTTTTTGTCCGTATAATATATTTTGTAGAACAATAACAGGGGGGATACAAAAATTTAAAACTGAAATTTGTTTTTCAAAAAATTTTCCGTGGTAAACTTGTCGTGGGGGGGTGGGGGGGGGGGGAGGCTAAAAAGTGTCGAAGAGGTTAAACTTTTTTGGCTGCAATATGTATTTCTTGCTTTTTCGACTATATTATCTTACGTATTTCTTGCTTGTCAATTTATTTCCTTCATTTTTTTGGCCGAACATTGAAAATTTGCCCAATTTATAGACCTTTCAATTTCTCTAGGTGGGCACCTGCCCCCTGCCTCGTACGCCTATGAAAACAGCTTTCGTATATTAAATGCACATTCAGGTTGCTAGGATCGTGGAATTCTGATCATGTGTACTGATTCGTACGCAATACACGATTTAGCAAAAGTTCCACGTCAGAAATAGGCGTTAATGACATAAATAATAATAATAATTGTTTATTTATCCATCTTATATATACAGATGTTATATTATATGTACAGATGAAAATTTAGGAATAACTATAAAAATATTTTATTTTTTAAATTTATTTTTTTATTTTAAAAATTTTCCCCATGTACAATAAAATTTATGTGTAGTATTATTTACAATAATTGTAGAGTGCGGGCTAGAGACCTACTAGAAATCTTCGTCGAGTTTTTATTTATTATGTAATAAATTGTTTACAGTCAATTACAATATTGAAGGAATATGTATGTATTTACAAGAGAGAAAAAGAAGTGAAATTGTTCTTATTATAGAAGTGAATACCAATGTTGTAGATGCATTTGGGTTCTTATAAGAATTAAACTACAATATACTATTAATTGTGTCACATACCAGAATGTTTTATAGCATGTCTTATACAGTGTATATAGTAAAAAAATGTTGTTTAATTTGCTTTTTGAAAGTGTTGTAGAAATTTATATCTATAAATTTTGTTTCTAACGAATACCATTATAATAATAATGGAATTCGTTAGAAACAAAATTTATAGATATAAAATTGATATCTATAAAAGTTAAAACAAAATTTATATCTATAATAGCGTTCCGCGACCAACATTAAGCTCTTATATCTCAGCGAAATTGTACGCCATATACGCCCACCAAAATTTTAGGCCGAATAGCGAGGATCTGGAAATATCTCCATGCAAAATTTCATGACAGCAGTGTTAATAGTTTCTGAATGGGATCAATTGTGCTTTTTGATTTTGAACGAGTTTGTTCTGGGAATAAACGATAGTCGCATGCCTTTTGTATATAAATAAACACATACAGATACATTATTCTATAAATATGTTAAAATAATCGTCAAATGCGTTGATTACTGCTGAAACTACGTGCGGGGGTTGCCCGCATTGCGTATAATTATTAAAATGTATTTATGCAGTCGGATAGAACGTGACCTGTCACCGATGGAACAGGTGTTGGACAGTAGCGGAAGGAATAGCATATAATACCTTGCAATTCAACCCACACAGTCAGTCTTATATAGTGTGAGTTGAGTCGTAAATCACTATTTCTGCTATCAATCTACAACAACTAAGACAAAGTCTCGAAGATGGCTGATCTTTCCAAGGAAACAGTAAAGTATACCAGACTCTGGGGACTGCATCGCTCTTGTAAAATATTTCATCTGTCCTACCTGAAAAAGTCGTTTTCAAAACGTCCCAAAGAGGTGGAAGTTGTGGAAATCGTAGGACAGTCTGGTAGACGACATGCAATATGTAGTGAAATCGAGAAGAGGGTCTACGTCAACACTCCTTCTACAAAAGCTCCTACAGCATCTCTACATTCTGTTCACTGGCACATGGTGAAACGATACAGACTCGTATGCTATGACCTTTTATAGTTCCCATACGACGCAAGTCCAGTTGGATCCTGTCCATGCGATCAACATACACGCGCCGTAAACATTTTCGCCTATTAACGAAAGTGACTATTTACAGAATGTCTCAATTCCCCAAATACAATAGCATGCAAGAGAATGATGCCTGAAACCTAAGAAGAAGACTTTGGTGAAAATCCCTCGGCCAAACATGAACTATGAAGACATTGCCGTTTAATAAACAAATATTGATAACACTCGCTTAGCTGAATAACAAAAATTTGGCTTTCATAAGAACAAAAATGACTATAATGACCAGATGGCCTTATTGACAACCGGGTGAACTTTAGAAAGCAATTTGCGCTATCGGCGTTTTGTCGAGTAAGATCGCAGTAACAATGAAGTGGCCGTGAGGCAGGAACTGTGTCCCAGAATGAATAAAATAATTTATATAGAAATTACAATGATAAACTATTTTTGCTAAGAAAATTTTGTCATATATTTGATATATGTATGCATGTCCTGTGGACAGGATTCTTTGTATGACTAGAAACGACTAGATTAATAAAATTATTTTCTAATATATGACTTGTGTGATTTTAATCATCTGCAGGGCTAGAGAACGATCGCAGAATATGTCACTGGCGCACTGCTACTTGAAAAATATGGCGGGTGATGTGTGTCAAAATTCAATAACACATTTGGCAATGATAACGTAACATTTTGCTACAATAATAACACATTTGGCAACCTTTTGCTACAATTTTGTGGCGGTTACAAGACATTTATTAACAATAACAAAACATTCAATGACAAAGTATTATTTTGCAACAACATACTAGTATCGTTTCAGATATTTGCTAACAATCGTACATTTGGTAAGTACAATCCCGTGATGCAATTGGGCACTAGCTGCAAATGGCGCGAAAACGGTGCATAAATGGCGCGTAATTATTTTCACACAAAATGGCGATCAAAGATATCGAAGAAAACGGAGTACGAACTGCTCTTATAACGCGATTGGAAATGTTATTGACTGATGTAACGGAATGCTTTTCAACAGAGCTTAATGATGTTATTGATCGTATTCGCGATTTTTCTGAAGACCTTTATCGATGCCTAGCAAATCTGACAGCACGAAATCCCGAAATTTACAGCGAATTGCTACATCAGGCCAGACTTCTCGTAGATGTCATACAACGTCCTATTTTGAACAAGACGCCTGTCCGGCGTTCACACTGGCCTGAAAATATTGACATACGTGCTATGGTGCAAAATTAAGGCAGGAATACAAATCTTAAACCGCAAGCAAATTTTATGGATTTGAATATGGCACAGAGTAGGAATATTTTATTCGAATTTTTCAAAATATGAGGTTTTTACTCGCACGCACGTTTATAGCTAGCTCCATCGATGCACGTGCAAATCATGCCGACCTACAGAATCGATTTCCGATTTTTCCTAAACAGCGCGTTGCTTTGATGTGCGTTGCATGGGCCGCGCTAAAAATGTAAATATTCTGCAAATACCGAAATAAAAGATGAAAATCTCAAGACACAAGCTTGAAAATAACACTATAAATAGTGTTTTCGATTCTGGTTCCAATAATATTATTACGAAAAAGATATGTCCAAATGGGCCGAAGTTATGTTCGGCAAAATGTATGGCTAGTTTACATTGTTTGTTATATTATGAAATATGATACCATACTTCTTTTAAAATTCGCGTCGAACTAATGTTATTGTATTAGGCAAATGAGTAGACTTGCCACAAGTCGACCTCGAACGATATGCGTTTCTTCGAGGTCGACTTGTGGCAAGTCTAGCAAATGAGAACCATACAATAATGGTTCTAGTTCTCGTTGGTATTTTGAACGCACGCTTTATCTTTAGTATATAGCTACCACAAAGCTTTTTGCACGGATTATATTTCGCGCAGTACTAAAATTTCCGCACCCAGTGGCCAGCGCTACGCGAATTCTCTTGTCGATATTTGACTAAAACTATCGTAAGGAATTAGGAGAGTTTGTCCTTGTTTATATTCCAATATATTGTATAAATTCGCTGGGTACAAATTTATGAAATACACAACGGATGTTATGAGTCAACGACGTATATTTATAGTTGTTTATTAAAAAGTCAAACTGTCAAACCTTTAACTTGTCCTTGTTTAAATATCCTTGATATATTGTATAAATTCGCTGGGTCCAAATTTTGTGGTTTTCGAGTCGTTACACAAAGAAAAACACATTAATTCAACACGCAAGAAAGTCCAGAGTACGACACAACGTAAAATTGATTGGAAACCGGCACAATTCTTTGAAAATTCAACGAAACTGTGTAAAATATAGTTCGATCACTCTGTGAAAAGCCGCCATTGGAGTTCGGAATTGTGCGCGTGCGTATAGGCTAATAAACGAAAAATGTACCACAAGCATTGCACGAGTCGGCTATTACGTACATATATACGAGCTGATTACTTTATTAACTAAATCATGGAACTGAGGGACTCGGTGGCATTTTGGCTTAATCGCTGCATCCTGAGCCTGCGATGAGCTAACGCAAACTCGATTTCTTGACTACGAAAAAAACAGAAAAAGGGGGATTTAAGACACTTGGCCTACAGGCCAGTGTAATAATGAAAATTACGGACCGGAAACATTGGGAATCATCCTAAGGTCAATGCCAGGTAGACCAAAATTTGAAATTTTGAGAGACCAGCTGCAGTATTTGCAGAGAATTGGCCACACCATCCAGTAGCTGTACAATTATATATCTAGCCTGTAGTAGAGATGACTGAATATCATCTGACGCCGAAGCTCTCTCATTTTCCGCCATGTTTACTTAAAAAAGCACATGTAATCCAATATCGCGAAAATAATTACGCACCATTTTGCACCGTTTTCGCCCCATTTGGAGCTAGTGCCCAATTGCATCACGGGATTGTACTTGCCAAATGTACGATTGTTGGCAAATATTAAAACGATACGTTTACTAGTATGTTGTTGCAAAATAATACTTTGTCATTGAATGTTTTGTTATTGTTAATAAATGTCTTGTAACCGCCACAAAATTGTAGCAAAAGATTACTTTATCGTTGCCGAATGTGTTATTATTGTAGCAAAATGTTACGTTATCATTGCCAAATGTGTTATTGAATTTTGACACACATCACCCGCCATAGAAAAATGAATGAGATTATTTATAAAGCTTTGTATAGTATAATACTTTTTGTTTGTGGAAACATCACGTAATTTTATTACTGCAAAGCTTTCGATCCGCGTATGCCCGGATCTTCATCACGGTGCTAATAATATTCTGTATTATATGTTTTATCGCCATGCAAACCTACAAATAACTTTGTGTAGTATTGTATTGTACCGTACTCTGTATCATTTAATGTATTATTGTCGTGCTTAAACGAAGTCAGCCGTCGCTTTTTATTCGGTGCGTAACTTATCCTCGTTCCCAGGGCTTCAACGCAGGCAGCCAAGAAGCCCTAGGAACGAGGATGTGAGTCACTTTGTTAGCCGGCGTTAGCCAGTTTGTTCGGAATTAATTAATACAAGCCTCGGTAGTTATTCAAAAATAGTATGTATTCGCGCACGTACGATAAGACAAAAAAACAGTTAATTTTATTTTCAGATTCGTGATTTTATTTTCATATTTGAATGTGAAAAGAGACTGATGATTTTCATAATAAAACCGCAATAACTTCAACCTCGTACCCAGGCTATTTTCTCTCATACTCTGATGTAATAACTTAGGAACGGTTACAGCAATCGAAAAAATATCCAATACCATTCTTCAATAAAACAATTTAGACATTTCTAGCTTGTCAGGTTTTCTCTAGAGGCAGGACATTTGTGATTATAACGAGTAGCCATGATCGAATCTGAAAACAGAATCGTTATATCTGAAGAGCGATAGAATTTACAATAAAATTATTCAATACCATTCTGCATTAGGTTTTAAAGTATAACATACAGAAGCCAGCTTCGTCCCCAGGCTCCAACTGACTCACGGCCCTCACCCGTGCTCTGGCACGCAGTGCGCTGCAGGAGAGGATTTTTGTCATTTTCCCCACGCGTCAGTCATCCCACGTGTTCTTCACGCGACTGCGTGTACAATAAAAAGCGCCTGGGGACGAGGCTGTACAGAAGCATCATCAGTCTCTTCACATTCGAATATGAAAATGAAATCACGAATCTGAAAATGAAATGGGTTTTCTTATCATCCCGCTTGTGGTGCATTTTTCTAAGCCGCCAACGTGCTGTTTTGCGCATGCTCCAGGGCGCCGTACTGCAGTACTTCTATCTGGTTGTATTATGGTATTATTGTACTGTATAATTGTATTGTGTTGTATTGTACAATACTTATAGTACTGAATTGTATTTTGTTGTGACTATATGTTATACTTTATTGTATCCAATACATTATGTATTTGAAATAAACTTTCGTCTTTACCAAGCTGTTTCCGTCGCTTACATGAATATTTTAGCAACAAAATAAAACCGCATCAAGTGTGATTGGTTATTCATGTGTTTATGAAGCTGCTAAATCATACACAGTTACAGCACAGGTTAATCCAAACATTTTGTTAGATTTAAATAATTTGAATCGTTGACAGCCTATTGTGTGATTAAAGCAATTTAAATAATAATTGTCTACAATGTATGAATCATTGCTACAGGGACAGTGTCCGAGCGACAATTCCTATTCGGGCTATCTTAAGGTAGAAGAAGGAAAGAATAACTGGATCGAATATTGGGTTGCTATCCGAGATAACCGCATCCTGCTTTATTCCGATGAATGTTCGGAGGAGAGTGGCGAGGAAGCGATAAAAACTATCGAACTATCAAGCGAGACACGTTGTGAACTTTTACAACGTAGGAATTATCATTTTCGTTTCAAGTTAGTGCTCGGAGGCAACTCGCTCTACAAGTTAAAATGCTCTTCAGCGTTTCATCGACAACAATGGATTTCACAAATCATGATAGCATCTTCAAAGGATCGAGTTATAGAGCTGAATGGGTCTGACGAGCTACGAGAAGGCAATCACAAACGAACTTTATCTACAGAATCTCAACTAAGCTCGGACGCAGAAAGCTTGAATGAGTCTGAGCTTGAATCAAGCGGTGCCTTCTCAGACGGTGGTACTACATCACTAGGGCAACTCAACACACCGGACTCTGAAACAGAAAGCCCAGTGAAAACCACAGAGCGACGAGAATCCAAAGGTCTTCTCCGTAGGCTTTCGTTCAAAGCTACAACCAGATTGCGACGAAACAGCAATTCGTCCCCACGGGGGGAGTTTAGTGACACTGGAACGCCATCGCCGTCTAGTCCTTCGTTGAGACAGACTGGAAGTCCAATGAGAGGAAGTCCAATCGGTTCACCCAAAGTAAATAAAGGAGGTATAGATTTGAATAAAGTATTTGTGAATGCAGCCTTCGTACCCAGCCCGTCATCTAGTCCTGGCACAGCGAGAAAAACGGAGCCGGAGGAAACGCAACAGATAGACTTAATAGATATATCGTGAATTTTAGTTGGACATTTTCGAAATATGGACATATTAATTCTTATAGGATTTTTGGTAATTATTTCTGCTAACATTGACAAGCCCCATGATCTTGGTTTGTTTGCATATGGGAGAATGAATGTTTTATACATTTAATTCGCTGCCTTTTGTCAACGACTCGCAAATTACATTGTGTCTCGAACGTGGGGGTCCAGTGTATCTAGTTTACTAAGCTGCCGTGGTTTGTATCTAAACTACCTGAAGATTAAAAAGGCCGGTCATCAGAATCGTCATCCGTCGTCAGGATGTTTGTAGCGTAGTAGAGAAGTGCAATGTCTTGTTTAATCTTTTAAGGAGTTTTAATTAGTTCCGACAGCATGTTAATGTACATTGGGCAGCCATGGATTTCACTGTTAGAATTTCTATACAATTGTTGTGTATGTGCAGTTCTATATAGAAATGTCAACTTTAATACATCCAATAAAGGCCAAATATTTTCTGAGTAAAAATAGATCAATTTTAATCTAATATTTTTGAGTTATATCCATAACACTTCTTCTTAACTATGAATTATATATTACAAAGAAGATTACCATATATATATATAGACTCTTTGTTACACATAAATATACACTATAAAAATATGGGTCTATATAATATTCGTATTTATATTTGTAGGACGTTTAACCCGAGTAAGTCTTTGAGATTGTCTTTTATTTTAGATTTCATGTGAGAGGGCTGCGTTTGTTATATTTCGTTTACAATAATACACCGACTATACAGGTGTTTTCGAGGGCGACCTGCAATAAATATTTAATAAACGCGCTCAGAATGAATAAACTAACGCTGAGGGACTGTGGGAAATTTGTGTCCCATGATGCCCTACGCGCCTTCACATATTGCCCGCACGCCTTACTTTTCCTGGGTTTGACACCGATGCGGAGAAAATAGTAACCGAATCAATCGCGTTTAAGGCAATTATAGGACAATATTTTCTGCTAAAATCAAGCCTACGGCATTGGGGTGGCACACAACTATACATGGGTGAATTTCACTAAACACGACTACACGAGAAATGTTCATTTTCTCCACAGAGGTGGTCAACTCCAGAAAGAAAGAAAGAAAGTTACGAGAGTCTCTACATTGTTCACCATATGTATTGACCTAGTGTGTGTTGGCAATTACTAACCTGAGTATTGGACTAATTAGAGCCTGATACTTGAGCTAAGCAAATGCATGTGATCAGAACAGTAAGTCTCTAATTCGTATGCTCATTCTCATAGTAAATTTGTTGGCCACTACGTTAATATACCACTATTGAAGCCGCCTAGAGCTTCCTGTATTTGATATTTGAAATACCTATCTCTTAAGGAAAAATATATTATCAAGTACAGTACTTTCTTCTTCATCGCTATCGTAACCAGGTTCTTCGGTTGAGTACATCCCAGTCTCTTCAGAATATCTTTCCTCGTATCCGCTGTGTATCTCTAGGTCTTCTACAATCTCTACCAAAGAATTTGGATACCTCTTCCGAGAATATTGGTCATTGTTGTGGCCTGGCGGGATTCTAGGATATTCTGGTTGTTCTCTGGTTGGATGTGGAATATTAGGTTTGTACAGTGAATAACTAGGATTTGGATTCTCGTCTATATTAAAAAAAATAGAGAATACAGTTTTTGTTATGGTGGCAATGAACTTAAAAAGAAAACAAAATTACAAATACGATAGTAATCTCTAAGACGAACTCGTCTCCTCGACAAAACGATTACGACGGCAATGAAAAAGTGCGTCTTCAAAACCCTTTACAGCATGTCAACAAAGAACAAAGTAATATACTTGCCTTCGTATTGGATTTGTTGGCTAGTCATGCACGGCAACGCAAGATGGCCATTTTCCTCTCCTTCTATTTCCGTGTTGCCATGGCTTTTTCTCGATATCTTTCTGTTGGTCGAGTGCTTATTGCTTGTGGCCCGTGGTTCATAATTGTCTTGACCAGCAGTTTGATGGTTGTAAATATAATCATCTAATAAATATTTTGATCTATCCCGATTCATCTGTGATCGTGAATATTGTAGTCCGTCGGAAGGTAGGTAATCATGTTCTGTCTTCCCAACTTGCGGTGATAATAGGACACCTGTAGGGGAACGTGATTGATGACGTGTGTAAGTTCTACGTTCTGTCGGTTGGTGCTTATTGCCGATTTCTTGTGAAGGCTGGTAAAAAGCTGCTTCATATTCTGATTCTCCCTCGTGTTTGTGAGTTGCATAGTGTGGTGCACCATGGTGTTCCTCGCGTATATCTGGACGATGGTGATATTCACCTTTGTGAAGGTGATGATGATGATGACCTAATGGTGGTCTATTTTCAGGTACTCGTATGGGCTTAAGATCATACAGTAACCTTTGATGGTAAGAGTTAGTTCTGTCTGGTGAATGTTGGTGCCTAATTGGCTGTTGGTATACCTGAGCATGGAGAGGTTCGCCCTTTTGGTGTGGGTTTTCTATGATAACATGTGGTGACTTCTGCTTGAGACCATGCTGTGGTATACCTTTGGAATGGCTATGGTTTGGTATAGCCTGGTCATAGTCCAAGGTCGCATGTTGTTGCCTGGTGTGGTTATGGTAATACCCACAATGACAAGGTCGCTCTGAACTAAAGTGATGCTGCTCCACGTCGTCATCAGTCTCGCTGTAAGACTTAGACAAATACTCTTGAGGATAATGACCGTGCACCAAATGATCGTTTATATCATAACGATTCTTTTGTTGACTATGAGACTTTGGTTGGAAATACTCGTTATTATTGAGGTCAATCTGTTTAGCATAATTTGCTCGATCGAGTTTTCTGGACAATTTCCTCTTGCTCACATAACGTTGTTCAAAACTAGTAGAATCTGTGCCATATTGACCTTTATTCCTGTTGGTTTGATGTTCTTCAGCAAATCGATTCTTCTCCACATCACGACCTGAATGATGGTAATGACGATGCGACGGTGAACCAGATGGTGTGTAAGATCTGTCTTTAGTCTGTGGTTCACCATTTTGTCCATCCAATACATCTTCATGCTCATGTCCATGTCTTAAATTTTCCACCACGCGCTGTTGGTGGTCGTGTTCGTGTCGCTGCCGTGGTGAGTGACTTGCGTGTTCATGTGGTATATCAGTATCTGCTCGGTGTTTTGGTTCAATTTTGTGGCCTTTTCGTTCTGGTGTTCGCTTCTGCAGCAAATTAGTTTGTTGTGTAGGAGAAGATTGTGTGAAAATGTCTTCATTCTTTTGTTCACTAGGATATTGTGGTTCTTGTTGATGCCAGCTCTGGGGTTGATCCAGTGGTTGTAGCTGGTGTTCTCGTGAGTGCAGCACCTGCTGGTTAGATTGCTTTCGCCATTCTTGTTTTTTATGTTGTTGTTTATGGTCTGCGTTTGAATGTTTCTGTTTATATTCCAGTGGTTCATGTTGATTATGAACGTGCTGTTCTTGGTTTTGTTGATAGGAGTGTTGTTCATTGTGTTTTTCGCGTTGTTGAGTTAGCCCTTGCTGTTGATTATTTTGTTCTTGGTGGCGTTGTTGTTGTTTTGCTAATTCTGGCTGATGTTGCTGTTGTTGTTGTTGCCCCTGTTGTTGTCGCCGCCCCTGTTGCTGTTGTTGTTGCAGTAATTGTAACTGTTGCTGTAGCTGAACTTGCTGTCGTTGGATCTCAATCTGCTGTTCCTGTAAGCGCAGTTGTAATGAATACTCCCTCAAATACAACTCATGCAAGCCACCACTCTCCGCCACACTTGAACGTTGGTACTCTTCACTTACACTTGGCGTCTCACTGTTTTGTTCATGTTCAACATTGCTAACTTTCACATCAAATAGACTATTGGAATAGACTGGTACTTGAGGTGTACTCCACCGCCTTCTACCATCACGATCATTACTTTCACTATCGCCAATATACGCTTGAGTACTTCGCATTTTCTTGATTCCACGTGGTTGGATGTCATCTTGCTCAGATTTGAATCTTCCAGATTTAGTTGTACCATCCGTGCTGAAATTTTGAATCAATGGCGATGTTTGTGTACTTTGTGGTTGTGCTTGAAACTTTTTCTTTAAAATCTTTTCCTGCTCTTCTTTTTCAATCTTAACATCCTTTAGCTCACTTTCATATTTCTTTAAAAGCTTCTCGCTTTTCTCCAAGCGCTGTTTCAACGCCTCTCGTTCTTGCTTCAACGCTGTTTGTTCCTCTTGCACAGTGCCCAGTTGTTCGTCAAAAGACACGCGTTCTTCCTGGAGTCGTTCAAGCGCGAGTTCTCTTTCCTCGCCCGTCTTCGCGAGCTCTTTGATTAAATTTGCGACTCTTTTTTTATCCTCGACGTTCAAATTCTTTAAAGAAGCTCTTCTAGCTTTACTGTTCTCCGACAAGGTCGATATGTTGGCAAGTTGGTCACTTGAAGCACCTTGAACAGAAAAGCATACTCATTGCAAAGTCATTTTGTTCAATAGTTGAAATGTAGGTAGCTACTAGTTATTCTGCCCTAGTTTGTGTCTCAACTACCTGCCAAAGTTTATCCTCCTGATGAAAGGCCTACGTTGAAATGTTTTTAATCGGCTTTTTAGATAGCGTAGACATAAACCACAGCAAGTTCACTGCCTTTCTTTATTCCATCTTTTGTCTTTATGTTTACACTTAGCCCCTTGCTTTGCTGGCAAAACCGAGGCTAAACAACATGAGAGGGTATTTAAAGACAAAACGATCCGGAAACGCAAAGACTATCGAGAGATTTATATTTGACTATTAGTTATCGACAGTATGGGAAACGTTATTATGGTGCACTAGTCGCATGATATTTTGAGAAAGATTGATATATGATGTGACTAGTCCACAGATAACAAATTATGAAGACTTGTACTACAAATTATGAAGACTTTGGAAATTGCGCGGCCGAGATTTCGAAAATTTAATAGTAAATATATAGAAAGCATCAAAATTGCGCGCCAGATATCTCGGGCGCGCAATACAAACTTTCCTTGGGCTTAATTTTGTGAAGCTGATTACAGGTTTGCAATTAGCATACACAAATGACCAAATCGGCCAGAGTTGTACTATTTTTATATACCTTTAAAAATGCTGGAAGCATCTTTCCTTTTACCCGAGAGATCATTTTGCTTCACTGCAAATTTATGACCCGTTTTTCCCTGTTTGTTTACGGTTAAAGGGTCACTACGTGTATTCGAAATGGCGCTATCGGACTTTGATTTCTGCACAACTTGTACGTATTTCTGTGCTTGTGTGTTATTTTTAACATCCTTAAAACGATCCAATGCAACCCCTGGCACTTGTACATTTCTAAACTGTTCCTTTTCTGGTACTGTACTCCAGAATATGCTTGTTTTCGTCCTGGTTTTGCCAGATTTAGGCACCTCTTCAACTGCTCGAGCGTTCGCCATATTGAAAATATTTGGTTTTCATTTCGCATGAATCCAGCAATTTGATTGGTTGAAATACTTCTGACCAATCAAAAAACGGGCTGGCCTGGTTACCAAGCCGCGGAATATTTATATTTTTATTGTTTTCCAAAATAATTTAGACAAAGATTTTTGCAATTTACTGTATTTTTTGGCATTGGTTTTTGTCTAAATGTGTAGTGATTTAGCAGGTTAGAGTCATGAGCAAATGGGACACACTCAAGGAACGTTTGCGGGAGTCAAATAGAGATTTAGATGCAGAATTTGAACAGTTTCTTAACGAGGTTTGTACCAAATCATTTAGACCAATTTTATAGACGTCTTACATCTATACTGGTAGCTTCAGAGACAAACTTGAAATAAGTCTAACATTAGTCGTATATATTGAATATCATTGTAGTTATTATAAATAGTTTTGTTATTGGATTGAGAAGGAGCCATGAAGGCTATTTATGTTAAGAATTACTATAATTATCAACAATTAGCTGTTGTAGTTTGTATCTGAACTAACAGAAAAAGATTAAAAACACTTAAAGGAAGAGCCACACTCTTTCACACTTTAATCTTTGTCAAGCAGTTCAGACACAAACCATGGCAGCTGGTGTATGCCATCAATACACATTTCGCAGAGAGAGAAAATGCGCTAGAGTGATTGCATACAAATACATGGTCTGGTACATGATCTTATCATGTGTACTAACCAGTGACTGAAACAGTACACCATAACCGCAGGTGCTAACAATATTTCTAAGCATATGGAGTAATCCAATCACATTGTTTCTAGTCACTTTCTGAAGAATCTGTTACCTCTCCCCGAGCTAAATCTCCTGATTCAAAAAGAAGAGATTTTAGCCGAGCGCAGAAACCCGGTGCATCGGGTAAACCCTGGTGGGAAAGCAGTGCCGAGGATGACTCTGCATCCAAAGATGTCCAAAACTGGTTTAAAACACCAACGGTACAAGAAGAAGATGAATTCCTTGAAGAGGAAGAACTACAAGCCACCAACACAAATCCAGATGATGGAGAATTCAAACAGCCTCCTGCAGACCTTGGAGTTTCTGTGACCATGAGCAAGGACAGTTTAGATGATGGTGGTAAGTCTGAATATAATTGGGTCATTCCAGAAAACATCCATACCTCCCGGCCCACAGAGGAAATCGCCCCCTACCCCGAATGGATTTCCTATTAAATACACTTACTATTATCAGAAACAAATTTTTCTCCCCTGCTTCTGACAGCAGAACGACCCATCGCAAACTTGGCTTGCTTCTGCAATGCTTCATATTGTTCTGTATTTTGTTTTACATTATTAGGTGCTAAAGATGCTGCTGTAGATAAACTATCTGATATTGAAAGGTAAACTCATTAAGCCACAATTAACCTATTGAGCTGCATTGTTCCCTAGCTGATGTGCTATCATTTACTACTATTTTTAACTTTGGATAATTTTGCTCAGTGATCATCTTGCATACCTCACTTGAATACCCCATTCACATATGAATGCCAGCTTAGATCTTTGAAATTACAACTATATATTACCGGTAACTAAAAAGTGACTCTAGAGGGCCCAGTCTGATAACAGGAGGAAACTGAAATACCTGGAGTCTTTTCATCTGCCTCTAGTAGTGAAGTAAAATTATGACGTGCCTGCAGATTGTAGTTATGTGAAGCGTACATTTTGGTTATTTAGCTTTGCCAACTAGGGCAGGGTTACCACAGCAGCATATGCTGGTTATTGTGGGCCCTTTTTACCTAACCCACCCCGTCAACTTTCACTGTGGGAGGAAACCGGAGTGCCCGGAGAAAACCCACAACTTTTGGCAGAGCGTTGACTTTTACTCTATTTGCATGAGGACTGTGTTCGAGTCGCATTGAGGAAGTTCTCGCTGAGGCTTGGACCTGCGGTCTTAGAGGTGAAAGGCAAGTGCGCTAACCACTTTGCCACCGAAGCCCATAAATTTGAAGCCACATTTTAAATTTGAATTGAACCTCTTGAGCTATGGACTCGAGGTAGTGTCATAGGTACAGCCATGAATTATAATTTGGCAGAGATGAAAAACACATGTACCTGTATGCACTTACTATAAAACTATTCCTATGATAATCCCGGAGGAAATTCTTCAAACATTTTAGCCAAAATGTTGATGAAAATGATGAGAACTACAGCTATACTGAACCATCAGGTTCACCCACATCGTCACCATCTCAAAAACGGCCAGGAAAACTAGACGAGCCAAGTCAGAACACCGAGACAGGGATGAACACTCAAAATGAACTCGCTGAGAAATTGGAGTTTTTCAAACAAATGGAGCGAGAAAAATCAAATCTTGATTATGGCAAGTTGAATGAAATGCTGGATGATGGCACGAGTGTTACTGATCAAGTCCGAGCTGATGATCTCCTACAAGCCACTGGAGTGGAGCTAGGAAACTCAATTTTTAATGCAACAGGTATCAGATGTACAGACTGAGTTATTGTTAACAGGGGGACCGGCTTAACCCTAGGTTAACCTAAAGTTCAAAGCAAACCTCCTAACATCTTGTCTATAAATTTGGAAATATTTCTTCAGAAATCTTGTCTGGATCACTCACTGTAGGAGTTTTCTTCTCTGAAGTTTCGAAATAAACAGATGTGCAGAAATACATAAACTAAAACAGCAGGTTAAATTTTAACCCAGGATTAGCGCTAATCCAGCTTTGAACAACCAGGCCCCCGCTTTTAGCCAGCGTGTCAAAACTGTGTTTTTTGAACGAACTTTGTTAATGACGTCATAATTAGAACAATTTAAATTCACGAACTCAGACGCAACCAGTTTGGCGGCAATAATGTGATTGTGAATTTATTGTAAACCCGCTTGCAAGATGACAATGTCCTAATGAATTGAAAATTTTACGGTGTAAGGACCATGCGGTTTGCCTTCTTGTCATATTTTTGGCCAAGTTGGCTGTGGAGCGCGGAAAATGGGAAGGTCACTGGTCCAAATGATGAAATTGGTATGAAATGCGCAAGATTACGTGATTTGCGCGCGCTTTTGCTCACGCTAATTATGCTTCTGACGATCCTATAGATTTATTGTAGATGCATTTTTAGCTGATATACGTTGTTTTACTAGAAACCGCTGATGTGTTATCACCCATTAAGAAAGTCGCTAAACCCTCAACAGAGAAGGTATGATATGGTATGGTATGGTATGGGTGAGGTTCATTGGGTATGGTACGGTTACTACTAGAGGTGTGCGTCGGATCGGATTGACCTCTCTCAATCCGATGGTTTGTCTAAGTTCTCAATCCGAATCCGATCCGATCCGAAGATGAAAAAAGTAATCCGATCCGATCCGAAACAATGTTTATAAAATCCGATCCGATCCGATCCGATGCTAAAATTCGTAATCCGATCCGATCCGAACTTAAGTTGTGTACGCTGTACAGCGTGCGTTAATTATTATAAACGTATTTTTTCATGATCATAAACGATATATTGGAAATAATGAATTTCTAGCAAAAATAAGCAGATACGAATCCGATAAAAATTGCAGGGCGATATCACATAATTATGCCTTATAGCGTTCACATTTACAGTACACAGTAACAGCAGTTTATATTTTATTAGAATTAGCATAGAAAAAAACCCCAACTAGTCAAAAATGTTTTATTCAGTATAATAAATCATGAGCTTGAGCTAGGTTTACATTTTAAAACATCTTAAAGTTTATCACTAATAAACCTCAATGGGTGGCATAATGGCATTCGTTATTCGCGATTTCGCGAGCGAGCAAAACGTCACTTTGACTTTGTAGTTTGTAGTTTGTATGGACTATATGGATTATGGAATTACTTTTATGCTCAAAGCCATTGTGAATTCTGATGCCATTTGTAACGTAAAAAGTGGAATACAGCTGCAGAATATAGAACTTTCTCAATTTGTAAAAATATTCGAATAATTCGACGTGATACAAGAAAAATCAAATCCGAACCGATCCGACAAAAAACCTGCAAAATCCGATCCGATCCGACAGAAACAAAACGAAATCCGATCCGATCCGAGTAATTTACTGTCCGAATCCGATCGGATCGGATTCGGATCGGATTCGCACACCTCTAGTTACTACAGTATGGTATTCCATGGTATGGTTTGATATAATATGGTATAACATAGCATATAATGATATGATATGGTATGCGTCAGTGGGTATGGTATTCCATGATGTAGTGTATGTAGCAATGGTATGTAGGTCTGTAAATTAACTCTTGGCTGTGACTAAGGAGAGTCTATTTTCATTTATAGAATACAAGCAAGCCTTCTTTGTTGTCTAAAGGTAAGTGAGTACATGATTTGTATTATTTATTAAAATGTCGGTTATCAGTAATCAGCGTCTCTAATCAATGTTTTGTAGTATCATTGATGGATTCTCTGGACTCCACTGTGGGAACGGCTCAACGAGAAAAAATCAAGCAGATTAGACATAGACAAATTGATGTCCCAGTTTCTGAAGACATAGGTGGGAAGACTTATACATCTGTTGAAAGCAGTTGGCTTAGCATCCCTTTATAGGCATAGCATTTATTATTTCTTTACTGCGTCTGACTGTACTATAAGAAATTACAGCTTGTTCTTTTACTTGCTACTTACGCTTATTTGCAGAACCTCAATCTGGCGGCAATGACGTCAACAATGATGTAATCGATGATGAACAGGAATATTCGGAAAGTTTCGAAAGTGATGTTGAACAGGAGCGATCAGAGGTTGCGAGGACCGGGACTGGATTACTAAATACTTCCGGTGCGGGTGAATTGGCAGCCTTACAGCAGGCACTTCAACATGCTCATTTAGATAGCACTAGCGACAGTGCACGTCCTTTAGGTATGTTCTAGTTAGAGAGACAGTTAAACAATACCATCATTTAGATTGGGGGTGACAGTGGTCAACAGGGCCGTAGCTAGACGCGATTATTGGGGGGAGGGGGGTATATTCATACATTTATGTTCACATACCGTAAAAACAATCACTTTCAAAAGAAATCCGTCGGGCAGAATACGAATATATGAATATGCACCCCAATTATTGGTCTAGCTACGGCCCTGGTGGTCAATGTATGCACCATTCATAGGTGTTGGTCGGTTCTTGTGCTTGCACAATTTTGCTTCAGTTGGATGTAAGAAGTATGTCATCAGTCAACACTGCATGCTTTCTTCGGTTTTCTGGCTTTCTATTGCAGTAGCAGCAGGAATAGCTTATTCTAACCAAGCCGGTGGAGCCATTCAGTATACAAAAAGTTAGTTTAGTGTGTTACCTTGTACTATCTTTTAGATGATACAACTGCAAGTAAACCTGAAGTTCAAGAAACTCAAGGAACCGTTATAAAGAAACCTCCAATTCCACAAAAAGATCTCGCAGAAGTGGCGGCATCTTCTCAAACAAATCAAACCGTCCATCAAGAAGTTTCCGTTACCCGACCTGTGGCTGCATCAACAACCTCAAATGAATCAAAAGGATTCAGCTCTGTCTCCGTCCCTCTTCTCAACCAGACATTGCAACTCCCCCCTGATATGAATGGTTCTGCCCAAGAGCAACCTGGGATCATCCTTTCCCGAAACTTCGAAACTCAAGATCCTGTAAAACCGGTTCTGAGCCGTGATGATATCTTTCAAACCCGTCAGACCGGCTTCCCATCTGGTATATCGGCAGGTTTTGAGCTGCCCGGTCAAAGGGAACCAGCTGAATATGAAAACCGCAGCTTCTTGTCAGAGAACTTCAACTTTCAAATTGAAAACCGACGTGAACCTCCCGGATTTCCAACTTACGATGATGGTGATCAGCATGGTTTCAGTCTTCAACCTGTTACCGGTGTATTACAGCCGGGGGGAGTGAATGTTGCACAAATCGTAGAGGAGGCGATTGTTGAAGATATATTCTCGAGGAATGTTAGTGGAAGTACTCCTAAGACGGGGGGAAATCCTACTGGAAATACTTTCCCGGGGGAGGTCTCCAGTGATGAAGATACGCCCCCTCCTGAAAGTTTAAAGAATATTAAATCTGTTGTAAGGAAAAGACGGGAAGCGCAAAATAATGCGAAACCTCCGACTGGGAAACAACGAGAGACGAAGAAAGGCACACCTAAAGTTATGCCAAGAAGTGCTACACCAGGGGGACGTGGAAGGAAGATAGAGGATAAGGGAGGAAGAGTGGGGAAAGTAAGGAGCAAGCAGGGGATCGTTGGGGATGATAAGAATGTTGTGGTTGATGACCGCTTTGGATGGAAGGATAAAACTGGAATGAGTTCCTCGCGTGAGAAAAAAGGAATCACCTCGAGAAGGCAGAAGGTAAGAAAGAAGGTAAAAGTGAAAGTTCAGAGGCTTATCAATTTTACTAACAAGCGTAATTAATTAGCCTTTGTGTTTCTCTGGTTTCTCTAATGTCAACAACCCTTCAGCTGCGGCCATCCCAAGGTCTCGGAATAACCTGATATTTTTTCAAATCACAGAACTCCATTTTCAAATGCCAAAACTCCGTTTTCAAATGCCGGAACTCCCTTTTCAAATGCCAAAACTCCCTTTTCAAATGCCAGAACTCCATTTTCAAATGCCAGAACTCCATTTTCAAATGCCAGAACTCCATTATAAATGCCAGAACTCCATTATAAATGCCAGAACACCGTTTTCAAATCGCAGAACTCCGTTTTCAAATACCAGAAGTCCATTTTCAAATACCAGAACTCCCTTCTGAAATGCCGGAACTGCGTTTTCAAATGCAAGGACTCTGTTCAAATTCTGAAGTTAATGGGGCAGAATGCTGAATAGCCTGGTGTGGTCCCTGAGTTTGAAATCATTTATAATTTCTTATATAGTCCAGACAATCGCCAAAGCAACAACCGAAAGCACCCGAAGAATCTCCTGCTGAATTGATGGCTTCCGTCGAATCTTTTGCTAATTATCTCAACAGTTTTGTTCACCGCGACGATCACGAGCAACGCACGTCACACGAGGGACACACGTCACGCGTGGAATATGATAGTGTGTCTGAGGAAGACCTGGGAACCAACCGAATATCACGTGAACAAGCTTTGCGTAAAGAGGTTGAGCATTGGCAAGCTATGTGGCAGGTAGGATTTTGGACCTCAGAAATCCTAGTTGCAGCATTAAACTAAACCAACTTTATTTTTGCTGAATAGCTGTATCATTGCTGAAGTGTTGTCTCCAGGGGTGGATCCAACAAGGTTTTTCTAGGGGGGTGCTGGGTGAGCAGCCAAGTGTTTCTTTATAATTCTGTAGGGGGTGGTGGGAGAGCATTCAAATGAATTGGCTTCCTAACGATTCAAGCTCCCTAGGGGATTCAGGGGTATGCCCCCTGGAAAATTTTGAAAATTAGAACCCTAGAAATGCCATTTCCTGTGATATGGGCATTGAATTATGAGGTTCAATTTGACTTCAAAAAAGGGAAAACCTTGGAAATTATGCCACATTTCTGAATTTGATTTTATTGCACCCCCTTGCACCCCTGTTGACCAAGGCCAACAGGGGTGCGCATCCCTGTGCACCCCCTATAAATCCACCCCTGGTTGTCTCTAGAGGTCCAGTAAGAGCAGTCTCTTTTTATCTCGGTGTTATTTCATGATGAAACCGCAAGACTTGCCATGAAATGAAATTATAATCAAACAATGAACCTACAGTATTACCTAATGAACAAAATTTTGATCTAGACAAAAATTTCATCACAGCTTGAAAGAGCATCACAAAATTAGTAATATTCCGAAGTTTCGTTGCGAAATGTTGTAAAATGCGGATAATATAGCCCTGCGAAGTTTGCCGTTTTTCAGTCATTTTGTATTTCGCACGGGAAATTGATACCGCTTTCTGAAAAAAGGTATCAAAATTTCCCGTGCGTAATACCAAATGATTGAAAAACGGCAAACTTCGCAGGGCTATATTATCCGCATTTTACAACATTTCGCAACGAAACTTCAGAATATTACTAATTTTGTGATGCTCTTTCAAGCTGTGATGAAATTTTTGTCTAGACTTGTCTAGATCGAAATTGTGTTCATCAGGGAATAGGTCCATTGAATATTGCAAGAATTATAACCCCGGTCATGGAGGTCGAAGGCACATACACTGACTACTTTATCACTAAGGTATAGCTCAAAATCTTGGATCCAGAATATCTAACGTTTCAAGTGTTACTAAATAGTTTTCATATTTTCAGGATGAAAAAAATGAAAAAGAGAAGCTGATAGACATGCTAACTCAGAAGGACAAGGAATGGAACAGACGAGAACAGACATTAAGTTTGCAATATAAGAAAGAGATCAATGACTTGAAACAGAAGGTGTTTGTTTTAGAAAGTCGACTGAAGGATGTTGACGATAAGAAACGGACGTCTAAAGCTAGCAATTTGAAGGTGGGCTACGTTCGTTGTAAAATAAATTAAACTAACTTTGTTTAGTCACGATGGTCCTATCAGTTCTAAACTCGTCTCCCTATTCTATTGGTCTCGAAACACCCATTCCTTATTGATTTAGTGTTATTACAGGAGAAAACGTAGTTCCCAGAGAAAATTTTGTTTGGTAGAGTTAAACTGTAGGCGTTCTTCTCGCGTGCGAGTTGGTCTGAGGTGAAATTATAATGGAGAGATGAAAGACAAGTGATCATTTTTTTTTCAGTCAATGTCAGACGAAGAATTACGAAAACTTGAGAAAGAGATTCGTGATCAAGATCAACTGCTGACCGGATATCAACAAGAGAACGAGAGATTGTACGAAGATCTAAAGCAAGCACAGATCAAAGCCAAGACTGCTGAAGCACAGATGTTTAAAGAAAATCAAAAATTAGGTAAAGATAGAGAATAAAACAAGGTAACTAGGTAAAATCCTTCAAGCTTGAGGTTTCTCCAGGTGCTCTGGTTTTCTTCTGCGGTTATTACACTGGACGATTGAGAGACACGGCCCTTACTGGACCTGTAGGGAAACCAATTTAGAATAGAAAAAGCTATTGGTTGAGTTTAGTTTAAAGTTGGTTGAGTTTAGTTTTCCTGTTGAAGTAAGAGTGAACAAGGGATGGTTCTTTTATGGAGCACTACAGTTTAGAGCAGATAGAGTTATCCAGTAATTAAAATGAGTTTTGATTCAGTAGAGTGATGTTGAATATCTATACCCACCATTTCCAGCTAGTGAAGTGGCAGCACTAAAAGAAAAATTGGAACGAAAGGAAGGAACATTTGAAATAAGTGGAACAGCCGCGCTGGGAGCAGAGAGGATTCATCAGCTTCATGCCCAAGTGAAAATACTCAAGACGAACGAACAAGAAATGAAGAAAGAGATGGACACTCTGGAGAATGAGAAACGAAAAGTAGAAAGAGAAGTGAAGAATTTGGAAAGGGAAAGAGATAAAGCTGTTCAACGAGCTGATGACGCTCTTGGTAGGTTTCCTCGTGTTGTTTATTAGTGCACGAATAAGGTGATGTGTCCCCCTTACTGGACCTTTAAAAAAACCCAGTTTGGAACTGATAGAGATATCCAGTATAATTGAAGCTTGCTTAATTTAGTTTAGTTTGGTTTGGTTTAGTTTAAAAGTTTAGCCCTAGCTGGAATAAACTGCTCAGACTTAGATCTGATTTATTCCTGATTTTTGGATTCTTTAGGTAGTAGTTCTCAAACACTGCAGGACATAGAGTCCAGTCATGCAACTGAAATCCAGAGATTAAACAGAAAGTTAGCATGGTATGTGGAGAATCAAGAACTGCTGGATAAAGATGCAGCGATATTTAAACAGAAAAATGAAGAAATTAAAGAACTGAAAGACTTGGTGGAAAGACTGGAAGCAGAACGAGGAAATATAAATATGGAGAAGGATAAGAAAGAGAAGGAGAGAGTTGGGGATGCTAAACGAATTCAAGATCTCGAGCGGCAGGTATGTTGAATGACAGGCGTAAAGGTCTAGTCAGCAATTAAACTAAAATTTTCCTTTATTGTGATTTTGTTCCTGAAGGTTCGGTAAGAGTCGTCCCCTATTGATCCAGTATTGCTGCAGGAGGATGACTAACAAATCTAATAAGTTCTCCCTATTTGTTTCTTAGTTCCTATTTGTTCCTTAATTCCTATTTGTTTCTTAGTTCTTCCTATTTGTTCCTTTATTAAGTTCTCTCAGTTTGTTCCTTAGTTCTGGAACTTTTTCTAGTTCCAGTAAGGAAGGACCTTTATTGATCCAGTGTTATTTACCTGCAGTGTTTAATAGAGTCAAACACATTCTTCACTTCGGAGGTGAATTTATAATTAGACAACTGCCCATTGCCTGAATCGTATCAATGATTACGTATTATATATACTGTATAGAATTAATTATTTAACGAACCTTTCTTGTAGGTTCGTGAGATGGAACAAATTATCAAACGCCGCTATCCAAACTCAATCCCCGCGTTAATTTATGCTGCTTCATCGGCACCAGGTGATGTTATACCTTTAAAATCCGAAGATTCTCCGAAGAAGCCAACCGGACCTTCGTACGCATTTCTTGAAAATTGCGTGAAGAAACTGAACCAAGAGTTGGAAGATCGCGAAGAAGAATGGGCACGAAGTTTTCGGGTCTTGGAACAAAAATATAATGCAATGCAATTGGACTATGAAAATCACGTGACGGACTTACGACGCGAGATGGAGGATGAACGCGAGAAAGTGACGTCATATACACGCACGCGCGCGCAGACTGCCTCGCTTGAGAAAGAGTTGGAAAACGTGCGTGGTAAACACGAACGAAAAATGCAAGAGCAAAATGCGGGGATTAAAAAAATGCGCGATGCACACGAACGAAAGACGCAAGAACTCAATGTGGAAATAAAGACCTTGCGTAACGCGTTACACGCTAAGAAAAACGTGCTCACGCAACCTGAAGGAAAAAGTGGGAAAACGAAACGAAATAAACGGGAAGCATCCAAGGATAAGCTTCCTAAGGATAATATGGACTCCAGGATTGATTCAAAGAGAATTGATGAGAACTTCGAGGCACGTTTAGCGAGCTTACATGAAGTATGTGAGCAAAAGGATCGTATGATTGAAGAACTACGGACAACCTGTGCCCAACTTCAACATCAGAGACAAGAGATGCTGGTTGAAAAAGAACTAGCGGTTTCTAGGAAAACGTTTCAAGAAACTTCGCAAGAGAAGTTGGATGTTCTTAGTACGGAGAACCGCCAACTACGGGAGCAACTCTCGCAAGTCACGGTTGAAATGGACCAACAACGTGTGCGGTGTGTAAGCTTTATCAGTTGTGTCCGGTTAGTAGCCCAGTGTTATTACTGGAGAATGCTGGAATACCTGTGGGGAAGACATGGGGTGTTTGGTAGAACCAGACTGGCACCACTTTTCTCACATGTGACTGAAGCGAAATTATAATCAGTCATTTTATATTATAGGAATGAAGTCAATGAACCCCGTGCACACACTAACCACTTGTTATTGTTAGAGTGTTTCAAGGCCTGTCATCCCCCTAACATTCTTTTATACAATGTTTAGTTATCAAGCGTCGCTTGCCGAGGTTGAGCGTATTGCCAGACAGGAACGAGAGGCCTCACATGATGAGTTATGCTCGCTGAAAACACAACATAGGCAAGGGATTGAGAGCATTAAACAAGACTATGTTGCTCAACATTCTCGCTCTAAACTCTCTGAATTGACGAACAAAGTTGCCAGCTTGGAGATAGTCATTGAACGCTTGAAAGATAAGTTAGCCAAAAGTGCGGAGATAGAAGTCGAACTCGCCTCGAAAAAGGTAATAGGCCTCATCAACCAGCACATGTTTATGCCTGTTGCCAACATGTGACCTTTCATTTCATGCTTACGTTATCAGAACAATGGTAACTAAGCATGCGAGTTAGCCAAAAAATAAAACTCGAATGGCAATCGACATAAATATGCGTTAGTCGATTTGATAAATTGGAGAAATTATTTTCACCCTAGTACAAAGCAGGGATGTTTTTCAGACTTTAATATCTCCTTATAGGTGCATGAGGAAGTTCTACATCAAGAAATCAGACAATTAAAATCAGACCTTAAAAAGGCGAAACAATTTCATACTCCCGAAATGCAGCATTATTCTCAACTTGAAGACAAAATAGTTGCTATGGAAACTCGGTACACCCGACGGGAGCACGAACTTCAGACGATGATTCAGAACCTCCGAGTAGATGCCGATGTCGAGAAAGACGCAGTGCTGAGAAAATGGCGAGAGTTGTTACGGAAGAAGACGGAAGAGACCGAACGCTTCCGAGTTGAACTCGAAGCTATTTTATCGGTCTTGGAAGAACTACGCCAACAAGGCATTGTTATCCCCCGATATAAAATTAAGCATTTGCAGTATTCATAATGTAACGTAAAATATTAATGTATATATGGTACCGAATTGCAAAGCAATTGGGTTAAAATATGAAGAATAACCGAAAAATCCATAAGGGCTTTCCTGCATCAATTTCGTCGATGCGTCTTTTCAAGTAATTCTTAGAGTTGTTTTTTTTTTGCAACAGTTCTCTTTCAAGGTAATATCTGTGTCTATTATACCCACACATTTGAGTTATAACAATATTTAATCTTTCATAAAATAAATAACACATATCTTTACATCAATTTACAGTTGGTATTTAAACACAGAAAGTATCACAGTTCGATGTTGAAGTTCTGGTATTCCAATATTCCATCATCTCTGAAGACGAAGGAAAAACGCATGTCTGGAATGTTCTCCATCAGAAGGGTAGTAGCGATCATAGAAGCCAACAACGAATCTCTCTGGTTTGAAACCAAACTTCTGGTACAGCAACATTGCCGGGTTATTTGCAGAGACGTGAAGAGTCACATCTTTGCCCAAACACGTTTGAATAAGATGATAAATCATGAATGATCCAATCCCAGCTCTTCTCCAGTCGGGGTGGACAACGACGAACGAGATATAAGCCTCGTTACATTTCACATCGGGCACCATGAACGCACATCCGATAATCAACTTCTTGTAAAGGACCACGCACGTGAAATCCGGGTACTGAAGGCACTCTGATAGATCAATACCTGGCCAGAAGAATTCACGACATAGCGCATTCACCCCCGGAATGTGATGCGGTTGCACGTAGCAATAGTCTATGGAACCGAATACTACAGGGGGGAGTTCCTGGTTTGGATACTTTGTTTGAAACCACGAGCAGATTTCTTTCAACAGTTTAAGTTTCACTGGCGTCGCTTCGAAATCCCGACAAATGAAAGGTTTTAAAAGCCGCGATGTGTAAGGACTCGTTACAGTTCGATTCACCGCGCTCGGATTACAGCCAATTAAACGACCTAAGAAGCTAACCTGTTTAACAGGTTTTTGTGAAACTGGTTGCATCATGAAGCGATCCAGAATTCTATCATGCTTGACCTGTGTAGTTCTTTGCGGTTTACTAGCTACCTCTGACTGTGGTTCAGTATTTTGTGAAGACGGATCTAACACAGAAGTACATTCACCATTCTGTACCACATAATGTGACACGGTGTTTATTGATTTCTCGATAACACTATCAAGTTCAAACACTGGTAGACCACATTGTCGTTTTTGACGGGTGAGCAGTAATTTCCCACGCAAGCGTCTTGCCCTTGGATCCGGTGAATCTATCTTGTTTAGTTTCTCTAGTAGTAATCTTTCCTCATGTGGCTGCATCGTCCTTAGATTTTTAACTTGACTGGCCTCGTCGTCATCGTCGCTATTATCACTATCGACTTCTTTGCCATCTTCCATTGTCGAGGTAGAGGGCTGGCTGCTGCTCAAATCTTTCGGATCAAGAACTATCACCCTCTCTTGTTTGGCACTTGGCACCTGTTTACATTCATCCAGTTTAGTCTCTGTTTTAGTATCAACAACTTGGTCATTTACTTGTGTAAAACTAGAAAGCAAAGACTCTTCCGCGCTGGTGTGATCAAAATTATCAAAAATTTCATCCATCCCTCCCAGGTCACCTATGTCTAATTCTAAGATATCACCATTACTTTCTAAGAACGTATTAATTTGATCAGCAATATCAGTTTCTGAAACACCTGAGTTTTGAGTCCCATTTCTTTCGGTCATATTCTCAGATTGTTTCAGTTTTTCCATCTCAACTAATTTTCCCGCTTCGTGATTTTCTGCTGACTCAGCAGTTCCTCCATTCTGCAAAATTTCCACCCTACGTTTCTTGTTCGCCTCCCCCGTCCGCGCATGTCCACCTTTCTTTCTCCTCCGTAGATTAAACCCAGGCGTAATCACTTCCGGCTTCTCGGACGGGGGGAGCACTTCCTGTAGCGTCCACCATCCACCTTCTTTAAATTCTTTCTGTCCGCTTTTAAAAATCTTTGGACAATTTGTAGACAATGTTCCTGCAACTGTACTACACCAAGACGATGTCTTCTTCTTATCTGCGTGAAAAATATTCCAATTTTGCTCTATAAACTGACATAAATCGTCCTTCCAGCGAAAATAACCCTTCCGTCCGCTCCCCCGGCATATGAGATTATACAAGGCTAAATAAACGACTTGCAGCCAGTTCATTGATTTTCGTTTGGATTCTTCTTTCCCTGTATCGGAGCATTTCACGCAAGTAAACTCGAAGAATATGTCGCCTTTAAAATTACTCGGCCGTCCGTTTTTCAAGCAAGTAGAATGAAATAGTTTTTGACATTTCGAGCATTTCAACATACTTGGCGTTATATTTTTGTCACAATAGCATACAACAGCGTCCTTTTCATCTGTGCTAGGGATAACAGTTTCACACCTTTCAAAAGCCATATTTCCCTCCAAAAAACGTGTTCACATTTCAATCATGCTGTTTCATTTTGTTTTGGCCACCATTTTGTTTTTGAGCCAGCAATAAGCTATACCAGCGGTAATATTCCCCCACAATGCTTTGCGCGTGCGGCAGTTAGCATTCCAGGTATGTATTATCACTTATTGAGGTCAGTGGAAAAACAAGATGGCAGAATTTTCAGGTCCACAAAATGGCAAAGGACCTGATCCTGTGAAAATTACATTGCAACGGGTAAGTTTTTAGCCTTAAAATATATTTTTACCAGTTCTATATATATTTGGCTTGTTTGTGTTTTGATTTGTAGGTAGAATATTCAAAAATAGAAATTGTTAAAAAGTTTATAAAAAAATTATTTTTATATATTTATCTCGATATTTATATTGTTTATATGTACATTACTCAGTATAAACTATACAGGATACTCTCTCAAATATTTGGTACAGTATAAATATATCTATAATGCTCAATGAACTCTTGTCAGTATGTAAAGTCATCTGCCATTAGTCTATCAAATATGTTTCCCCAAATCTCGATATTTATTTTACTTATAGAAAGGTTTAATAATATGATCAAAGATTTCAGTTGTGATAGCACTAAACAGTTTTTAAATACACTTTATTATAGAAAGCTGAACTTAAAGCCAAAGGAAAGTTCATTCCACCTGAACAATATGCATCATTGATAGTAAGCTACTCTCATCTTCAGCATATACTTATTAAAATAACGGTGGAACAATCCGTTTTTCACCAGCCAGTTTTTCTCCACCTCCGGGCAGGAGAAATTTCCTCTGTGGAGATCTTTTCTGGAATGACCCATTTCCACATTAATTGCATTTTATCAACATATGGCCCTAATCTTAAATGCACTATTTAAGAATTTCCAAAGCCTTATATTAACCTTACTCTGTATTGTGACCGTAGAGAGATCCAGCTATTGAGCGCTGGGGTTCAATGAGAGAAAAGACGCAAGATCATTTCAAATTCCGTCCAAGAACAATCTTCCTTGGTGTCATGTGGTGTGCAGTTGTTCCAGCTGCTTATTATTTCTTCTTAAAATGGGAGAATGTAAGTATGAATAAAGTCTAGTTTACTTGAGTTATTAGCCACTGATATTAAATGAGCAGTCACCAGAAAGTGAAAAATTAACACCTCAATCGACAGGCCCAAAATCAAGTGAAAAAGCTGGATTATATTTAAAGTTTAATTTATTAAAACATATATTTTATTTTAGAAACAAAAGCATTTTATGACTGGGAAGACCCCACAGGAACATTTGGGAGAACAAGCATCAACATGAATATGAGTTTGGTGTTTTTACAAATTAAACATGATGAACAAGGTGCAGTTGTATGTACATGTTCTTCGAGTGACCTCACGTTCTTGTGGATTAGGTGTATGAAAGTTTTTGTAATTTTATTTTGTCTTATATAATATTAAAAAAAGTATAAAAGATTGCCTTTTTATATCGTATTAAGATGTCAATTAATATCCATCTCAGGAAATCACATGTGTTGTATGTGATTATCAGCATTTGCAAAATTCCTTAAAATCTATTCTGAAAATTTGTGGAAAGTTAATGGCAATTTCCGTAATAAAATCTTGAGATACCATAGCATGTACTACAAGCTTTTTTGTCCATTCAAAATTTGGTTAGACATGTCCGATGCACCTGCAATGTTTCACACCTTAAACCTCTGTCAAAAGTTGCACTGGTCTATATTGACCTTTACTTATGGTTCTGAAAATCGCATATAAAAAGTGCACACCATGTAAAACGCGTTTTTCTCTGGATCATTCTGTGAAAACGTACACAAAGTCAAGTTCACACAGACAATTTTGAAGGTTTTGAAGAATGTTACCTTACAAGCAAAATACTGACGCATCGCATTTACCATTTCTTTACTTACCATCCGCCTCAACCATAATCTCGCAAAACCTACAAAAATAATCTGTGAAACTTGCCTGCATACAGACACTTTAATAATAAATCACATTGAGTTATAATTGGCATATAACGATAAGGACGATAACGTGATGGCACCCAACAGCGATGCGCGGTTGCGCGCCATTTTAAATTACACGCTTGAACAATTTTCCCAAGAAACAATGAGCTGAAAATCCCCAAGTCAGCGTTGCATTTAGCACTATAGCTTTATACAGCCATGGCTTCGCTTGGGGAAATACCATCGGATAAAAGTATGGTTAACGGTGAAAAAGTTTTGGTCAGTGATACGAAAACCGAGGACTTAGAATATCTTTTGGAATGCTGTATGGAGAAACTGGATGAAGCCGAAGCAAGCTTAACCAGTATTACTGAAATGGAGAACCGTGTTAACGAGAAAGGCTTTCAAGTCCAAAGCGAAATAAAACGAACTGCTGAAAGTATGATTGAGACGATCCAGCAACGAAAATGTGAAATGGGCTCCCAGGTGAAGTCTGCCATGAAAGCCAAGCAGAAAGCATTGAACTCGCAAAAGAACAAACTTAGTTCGTATGTGGAGTCCTTAAAGAGTTCTATGGAGTATTCCAAAGATATTTTAAACAACAATGATAGTGATGCAAGCCAGTGGAAGCCTGCCTTAGTAGAATTACTTCGAGAAGTGGTGGACGAGCAGATAGATCATGAGCCTGCTGCGAATGAGAGTTTTGAATTGACTGTAAACGAAGAGGAATATATGTTTGATTTAGAAGAATTTTTCACTCGGCTTTGTACACGCAGGAGAAGTCATCTCTCATCAACGGACACTTAAGACGTTAATTAAGAAAGATAATTGCTTTATTATATTTCACAACAAGATTAAGATTGTAGAACCAGTGTGGAACTGAGTTGTTCTGTCAGTCGAGAAAATCCGTGATTCGAAGAAACTTTTTATAGTGGTAATATTTGAACAACTTTTTTACTCACGACTTTGACTTTGTCCAAAGCGAAGAAGTCATCAAACAGACACTTGAAATGTTAATGAGGGATATAATTTGTTAATAATAGTGCATTACAAGATAGAGTTGCTAGCCTTTCACTCTTCTCTTCGAGAAAACTTGCATTTAATATGAAAATTTTATTGCGTTTTACTTTTTTACGTGTTTTGTATGTAAGGCGAAGATGTTATCTCTTCACGAATCTCTCTTTGATTAAAAAAATTAATGAGTTAGATAATTGTTAAATAATGACCCGTTTATACGAGAGGCTTTGAAAACCATGACATGATGCCTCAGGACCATCTTGGGCCAAGCCATGATTTGAAGAAAATTTTTATATCGCAAAAATTTTGGAATCGATATTTTTGATATGGCTTTGTCAGAGAAATATTGGACCCTTGACATGTCAATGAGAAAATAACAAGATAGAATCAGTGGTGTGGAACTGTTCCCATAGCCATAAGACAAGAAATGTTTTTATTATTTAAATAAATTTTACGGCATATAAATGACAAATCGTAAACAACTCGCCATCAAAAGTTTTTTTTAACAAAGTACAGATTTGAGCTTCACTAAATTTTCGTGGGTAAGGTCGACATTTTTTTACTTTTCTAATAGAATCACAGTAGTTTCTTGAAGCATCTATTGTAGTTATTGCGTCAACACGAACAGCGCTAAACAATGAAAACCCGTGAGAATCGATGAAACCACACTGCTGAACGATGTCGATGAGGAGACTTGAAGTATGTCTAGCCATTGCATAACAAACGTAAAACCATTCTCGAAAAACTCAGAGAGTAGAACCTAAGCTATAGAGTATTGGTGGTTTTCATTAATTAATACCATGCATGTCATAGCCATATCCATTGAACATTCAGGAAAATTTATACAAATTGTAGATTTTATGATACATTTATTAACGCCTTGCGCGAACCAAGCAACATAGCCTGCGTGCAGCCTCAACCCGAATTTTTTAAATATCTACTTCAGTAGATATTTAAAAAATTCGGGTTGAGGCTGCACGCAGGCTAAGCAACATTGCGTCCGAAACATTTAGAATGCTTCCCTCTACTCAATCCCAAAACTATTTTATTGTAAGGCAATTTTATTTCGAATTCAATGGTCAGTTCAGTTTCAGAAAACCATGAATAAGAAACAGTGTTTCTGCAAATAGTTTTCCTGGGCTGAGATTCCGTTGCACGCGTCACAGTCTTAGCATGTTCGTTCTGGCTATCATATTCAATAAGTTCATTTTAGTTTTCTCCAGCGAGGATGCGATGCATTGCTTCAATCACGGGTTGGCAACGTTGGTCCACCTTTCTGATAATTGCCACTGATTTCTGCTCCACTGAAGTCAAACCCTGGATTCTATATAAGAAAAATAAGACACAAGTCTGGTAAAAGTGAGTCACCGGCATATTCCTCATCAGAGAATTTCGAGCTATTTATACCTCGCTCTGAAATCTTTCCAGGGTTAACTTTTTCTCCATTTCCATAAATGTAGGAGGATCAACGATGTATTGATCAACTAATAATGACTTCCAGCATTCGCTTGCTGTGCGCTGAGATTTGACCAAAACAATGTTCAATAACTTTTGGTCCTCTAAAGATAGGAAAGGCAGTAAAAATAAAAAATATTCTGTGTATATAGGTATAACTTTAAAAAAAACTTTTCGCAGCTAAATCACGCACCTATCGTCCATATTGTTTCATCACAAAGAATAGCTGCATAGGTTTGGCCCTGTTGTATATGATAAAATATATCAAATTTATATCTGCGCAATTTTATATATGAGACGCATCATCGGTCTGTCGTTTTTAATGGTAGACCAAACTACCCAGAGCTTTTCACAGGGAGGTTCATGCAAGCAAATAGTATAATATATTATTACACGAGTCAGGAAATCATGAATTTATAATGTACAAATTAAGTGTAAAGTGAACTGTGGTCCACTTTCAAAGTTAATCGGTACTGTCTGACATGTCTGTGAACTTTTGCCAACATGTACCTCAAAAATAACGATGCCTCGCACTACACATTTGATCGATTTCGCTGTAATTTTACAAACGACTTGTTTAGAAGTGGTATTTTCAGGCAAATTAACTTTAATGAATATTTCCTCTATAGTTTGCCCCCAACTTCCCCATTCAGTTGAACTCCAGATAACTCCACTTTTCTCGTCGAAATCCACCATCTTAGCGCCCGCGCGATATGCCGGAAGTGCAAGAAGGTATCGTACGTCATGTAACCGAAACAGAATACTTCTAGAAAAAACTAGCCCGCGTGCAGGCACAAGGGAGAACTAGAAAATTTCGTTTTGCGGTGATATAAAACATAAAATTCTGATGTTTCTTGAACGTTTTCCTATTTTTCCACTCTTTAAAACATATAGAAGCAAACCTCTGATATTCCGAGAGATGTACTGTCATTGAAAATGACGTAATCTTTTCAAGGAAACTGGAAGCTAGTGTGTGTCATTCATGTGTGCAATTATGAAAACAAATATGTTGGGCATATTTTCTCCATTTCTGCTCATTTTCCTTGTAGTTTCATTTATTTATGGCCCAAATTCAGCCGTATCGGCCGTCAAAACATGCAAGACGGATCATGATAAAGTAATTACGGGATGGTAAGTATATTGAAAGTATATTTTGCTTTGAAAGTTTTTATATATTGTAGTACTGCAGCAATCACATGATATAATAATGATAGCTTTTATTAATTGCACATATTGCGTTGTATTGATCCAAATTGAAAAGTCGTAAGTTTATTTTATGTAAAAATTTATATAAGATAAGGTTTTGTACATGTCCTGAAATCGGAATTTCAATTATATTGTTGACATTGAGTTTAATACAACAACGTTGGTCATAAATTTATTAATGAATGATCGAAGCTGCTTTAAATAAATGTTAAATGACCACAGCTGTACACCAATGCACTTTTTTACTGTATTTCATAGTTAAATATGGCAAAGTTTCCTATACAGACGAGCAAATAAAACTTGTTGAATGAAAACTTGTCATAGGAAACTTGCTCGTTTTAGTTGTCAGCTGTAACTACCGTTCCAATTGAAGTGTTGCTCAAATATTGATTCAATACATTACCTCGGGCTGACCAATTCATTTCATCAAGTTCCTCGAGTTATTCATACACTTTCTGTGAAAGAGCCAATTCCAAGAATTTGATCATATTTGGTCACTTCCTTTCTATTTATGATTGGTTAGTTGCACAAACAACAAAGGTGATTGGTGCATTCAAACTATTCAACAGGAAGTTTACAATTATACTAGGAAGTGTATGAATATTTTGAGGAACTTGATGAAATGAATTGGTCAGCCCGAGGTAATATTTGAGGAACACTTCAATTGGAACGACAGTTATAGGATTTTAAAACATTTCTATAGTGTAAATTTATATGTGAATATGATCAAATGTGCTTTACAGTTTACATCAAGTATGACATTTACCTAATTACATACTTAGCCTGGACTGTTTATCTTTACAACAATTGAGATATTACTTTCTTAAATGTGTTTATCCTAACCCACCCTGTCAACTTTCCCTGTGCTAGGAAATTGAAGCACCCGGAGAAAACAAAGCGTTGACTGACTCTTTTCACATGAATTCGTAGTGAAAGTGAAACCCACAAATAAGGGGGTATTCAATACCGTAATACCACAAGCAAATTTTGTCAATTACAGCAGTTTTTAGTCCAAAATTGCAAATATGAAATACTGTGTACTGCAAGATTTCCAATATTGTAATACCACAATTTTTCATGGAAAATACCGAAATACTGTAAGGAAAATAAGCTAATACTGCCATACCATAAATCCCAATGTCCCCCTCCACAAACTCAGAGGTGTACGGTTGCTCTGATGACTCATTGACTGTGCCACTGAAGACCCGAATACTGTAAGAATATAGGGTGCATGTAGGCTGGAGCGGTTTTTTGGTATACAGGAAAATACCGTGTTTTTTTTAAAACCAGGTTTTGCCAAAGTCCAAGCACCGAAAATCCCGAAAAAAGACCATGAACCGGGGAAAAAACGAGATAAAAATGCTTAATGTTTCAGCTAATCCTAGCTGAAAATTTGTAAATACATTCGGTTAACATTGTCTTCTCACTTGTATTTTTATACCTCTGTAAGCTTTTGATATAAAACTAAAATTCTTGACATAATAAAAACATGTGCAACATGGTTTTCTGTGTGTATGTTATTTATAGATTAAAAACCGGTTTTTCTTTTTTTCCTGACGGTTTTCAGTTTCAGAGTTCTTTCAAGAACCACCCCAGCCTAGGTGCATGTGTTAATCAGTCTGTGCATTCTTTGGTAGGGACTGGGAAGTGAGAAATGGAAATGCTGCAAGTGAAAGTTATTTCATAAATATCTGTGGTCCAGCAGAGAACTGTGGCAAAGATACCTCAGTTTGCAAGATAGGTGATAAACCTGGTTCTACAGCTAAAAACTATGGTGCAAGTGCTACCGGGAATCTACCAACGATGCCATATGGTAAAGGTTTTTCTATTACATTTACTGGTACTGAAAGTTCCAAAACTGGATGTGAGAATAAGAATATTCAAACCAAAATTAATTTCCAATGTGATAAAATTTTGGTAAGTTGATTTTTGATAAAACCATTTACATGGCCTAATTATCAGTATGTTTTAAAGTATAGAGTGGTTATTTGATATTAGACTATTGGATATTGAGCATGCTTATTTCAGTACTGGAAAATGTCCTGTAACACCACTGCCAGGAAATTTTTGACAAAAATATCTTCACAGGAATTTTCTTACATATTGCAGGAAATGTTTGTTATCTTATACAGGGATGGATTTACTGGGGGGTGCACACACACCCTAGCCATGGCCAGGGGGGGGGGCTATTTTTCATGATAAAGAAAAAATTATTAGAGACAAAATGAGATTCAGTAATTTGAGTAATAACATGATGATAAGCGAACTGTGAACAACAATTACAATTCAAATACTGTAGTCAAGCAAGAACTTTGCAGTGTGGTGGAACAAGTTGATAGACGGGTAAAGTCACTAGAAACCAATTGCAACGTACTCGTCCGGAAAATTTTTTTGCCTAAAAAGTTGTCGAATTCTTATATAGTCTGGAATGTAGACTTGGGTGGTTTTGCTTTAAAATCAAAACTGAAAAACTGTCTGAACCTGTAAAACCAGTAAACCATTTTTTCCTTTAATTTTTACTTTAACTGAATGAGGAGGAATTGTGGTATTTGTTTGACATAAGCAAACACACAGTACACAACAAAATACAAAATTGTGTAAAGGTAACTTGAAACGACTTCAGTTTTAAAATAAAAGGGTGAAGAATGCATTTGAAAACTTATACCTTGTTAGTTCTTGCCGACTTTACGGAAAAAGAATAGAATTTGTACAGTATCTAGTGTGAGTTTAATTAGTGTCATGTTTTGAGAATTAAGATTGAGTTTTGGGCTATGACAGTAAACAATTACGTAATGATGGTTTTCAGGTTTTTGTAAAAGCTAGCTAAAAAAAAACAAAAACGGTTTGAAAATAAAACCAAAAAAAAAGCGAAAAGACAGTACCAGTAAACCGCCCAAGCCTACTGGAATACCATATAATTTAATTATTAAGTTCTTTGTATGTTTCCATAGCCATAAAACATATAATAGGTTTGTTTGTGGAAACACCACATAAAAAATAATAAATGCAGTAATAAATTTACGTGGTGTTTCCGCAAACAAAACTATTATAATTTAATTATTGTAAATGTGTGGCACCATGCATTCTCTGAAATGTCTACATATATGCAGGATGTTTTATATTTGACTCGCACAGGGAATTATTTTTGGCGGCCAGGAAGAGAAATATAATATTTTTAAGGGCCTGTTCATATGGGGAAAAGTTATCCCAGTTGGCAAGAAAATATTTCGACCAGTTTACAAGCGAGATCTTGCATTGTTATGAAAATAATATGAAAAGTTATACTGCGTTCATATGAGACAAAATTTTTCCCATGTACCGAGATCTCGCTTGTTGACAGGCTAGTGGAAATATTTTCTTGCTAACCAAGATAACTTTCCCTCATATGAACAAGCCCTAAGCCTGCGTTATAGACAAATGTTTTTAGAACAACTCGTATTGCCATTTCAACATAACATTATTTGTAACATCTTGTAAGTTGTTATTGTAAAATGGTTGTTTTGTTTGTTACTACAACAGGGTTCACCAGAACTTGTTGACGATGATGGCTGTATGGTTATTATTGAATTCTATACCAAAGAGGCATGTAATAAGTCAGCCAAGGTGGATAAAATAAAAGAAATACCTTGTGTTATATATAACAAAGTTGATAAGAAGAAGAGAGATTTATCCCCCCTGATAAAGTTGTCAGGTTTGTATATTTTTTGTACATGTAGATCAAATGCCTTGACTTGCAGGGGGGTTGTGAACCAATGCTTACCATGATAATTTTTTACAAACTATAGTAGATATGCATTCAATGTAGGTTTAAATTTTGCATCACAGATTCATGTTGTGAATTCATGATTCATCTTGAACTCTAACCCTTGCTGCTGATATAATCTTGAATGATCTGTGGCAGTATTCTTGGGTTTCATCTGACGACTAACGTCACAGAAGTGACAGGGGGGGGGGTCAACTCTAAAACAAAACACAGTTATTCTCATAGTGAGTCACTCAATGTTTTATGTATTAGCCTTGTGTTTGGTGGCAAATACATGGAATTTTGTATTATTGTCTCACTCCAGTACAGCATAAGCATCACTACATTTGAGGTTGACCCCCCCCCCATCAGAATTTTCATGGCATAATGCCGTAGTGAAACCCAAGAATTGGTAGTACCAATAATAAGAAAACTTTGGATTGATAGCATGCAACAACCTGAAAAATACAAGGAGAACTTCAACATTTCGTTTAACAAGGATGTTAATAATTTTGTTTACGTTTGGAGGTTAGTCGAACTACAGTATTTGCCACCACCCATCCCCTCTCTTCCAGGGACCAGTCGTTCAAAGGTGGATTAGCGCTAACCCTGGGTTAAAATTTAACCTGCTGTTTTAGTTTGTGTATTTCTACATGTCTGTTTATTTCAAAACTTTCAAGAAGTAAACTTCTGTCAATCCAGACAAGATCTCTGAAGAAATATTTCCAAATTTATGGACAAGCTGTCAGGAAGTTTGCTTTGAATTTTAGATTAACCTAGGGTTAAACTAACCCAGCTTTGAACAACCGGCCCCAGGATATCAAATGGCCCCACCCCTTA